ATTTCCAAAGGTCGATAAGTTGACAAAAGTTAGGGCACTATTATAGTAATATATTCTTGAGAGTAAATAAAGTAAAAAAGTCTAATACTATTTTTTTCTTTCGACGAATAGTTAGCGAGATATCGTAAGTTAAATGTTGAAAGAGTTACCAAGTTTCCCTGAAATATTTCAAAAAATATTAGGCGAATAAAAGAATGTTTCAGACAAAAGTTGTTAAAATTAATTGGTAGAAAAAGAAGATATAATAAAAAATTGGGCTTTCTATTTTAAAAAATTAAGTTGACCTTCAACTGACCTTGAAAACGTCCTCCAAATAAAAAACTGATAATGCCATTCTCTTTCCCCTTCGAAATCATGGAACACGTGTTTTAGCTTTTTTTAATATCTTTCATAACTTTCGAGATTTTTTACCTGTTACGTTTGAAATTTAGCACCCTGTATAAAACATACATATGTGCGTATACATCGGCGCGAGACGAGAAGAATCTTGCAGCCTGGTTTGATGAATCAATTCCTGTTGCTCTAAGGATCAGACCTCGATATCGCCTCGCGATTAGATATCCCGATGAAGGGTTGCCGGTTGGCGTGGGCACCCCTACGCAAGGGGCTCGCGTAATCCCATGAATACATAATTCAGATGCAAACAGCCCCGCCACGCGCGCGTTTCGATTTAAACGGTCGCGATTATTTCACGGATTAGAATGCGCGGATATTTGCGCTATTTTTCACGCCGTGTCGCCGTGTACGCAGGAGACAGCACGAGTGCAGCGGTATTTTCGTGCCGATTATACCCTTAATATCTCTCTCGAAACTGCCGCACCCTTTATTTCGGGGCGAGAGAGGCTGCTCGACGTAGATCGAGCAAATCGCCGATGCAAATACAGATAATGCGAATCGATAGTCTCTTTTCTTTTTTACACGATAAACGAGCGCGATTGAAGAAACTGGCGTTGACGGATGAGATTCGGTGATTCGAAGCCGGATTAGAACCGACTTTTGCAGGCCGTAAAAAATATTACCGAGCAGATCTCGCGTGCATCGATCATGACCGGACAATCACGCGCTGATAAGGGAAAAACGTTCGAGAGCGTTACGAGAGAAAATTCCGCATTAATCGGAGGAAGAATCTACCGTATCGTATGGTAGACGAGAATTTTTTGTCTCGAGAGATATTATCATCGCTTTCGAATAATTTCGCGTACCCCGCTGGCTGTTTATTCCGGGTCAAAAGATCGAAAGGTCGAACAGCGCCAAACAGCGCAGCAAAATAACATGTGTGTCCATTAAAACGATAATAAAATTTATTATTCAATAGTAGTAACGTGTAAAGTAAAATACTAGTAAAATACCAGAGAATTGGAGTCGAGACAGTCGTTGATAAAAACGCCACTACCGTTCGCACACTCTCCAAGCAAGATTATACATTCTCTCAAGCGAGCTTCGTTACATCGCTCGAATCACGAATCGGTCAATCGACACACACAACGTGCATGAGCGCGTAAGCGCTTAGCAATTAGTGCATATTTACTCGTGCAAACGCGCACACGGATTGCGGAAGGACAATAATACAGGATAACACTACGGGAGCATTTAAAGGGCGAGACGCATTCTCACTCGCTCGCTCGCTCTCTCTCTCTCTCTCTCTCTCTCTCTCTCTCTCTCTCTCTCTCTCTCTCTCTCTCTCTCTTCCTTTTTTTCTCGCTATCTTATAAAAATACACACTTGGACGGAACCGACGAGTATCCTCGTGATTTTCTTTTCCTTATTCTCAAGGCGTGATCGGACGATCGAAGGTTTGAGCTTTCGCGTTCTTCTTTCTTCGTGTCCAGTCCGCGACAATGTCCGACAAATTATACATTGCGAAAATCTTTATGTCTTTTCTTGCCTCCTGAGATGATCGAGTTCCTTGGAGACGTGTGTAAAGTAATTTTCGACCAAGGGAACACACGAGAGTGGAAAAGGATGAATAATAGGAGGACTTGAAAAACCGTGAAAAAGTAGGAGAGAATGTTCGTGTCAAATTTCACGATTTTCTTGATTTCCTCGAGAGATCCGTCTATTCTTTTTTGGTTGACATTTTCTTCGTAATTTTTACTTGTCCAATGTGTATTGCATGTAATCTCGAGTTAATCAATTCTGAGGCTCGTCAGTGTTATTATCTGAGACATTCCGGCTTCACTTTTGTTTCCTCGACGAATTCGTGATATATTGTTTCTCTCCCAACGTGCAAAGATTTGAAATGAAATATGTGCAGGTATGTGTATGCGGCGGCGGTGCACGAGATATAGAAAAAAAGAACACCTGAGATGAAACATAAACGGGCGTTGTACGTTTTATTGCGTAATACTTTGAGACAACGTGCTTAAAGACTGCGATATCCCTAGGATATCTCCTTATCATTTCTCTCTTTATTTGTGCCACGCTTTTTTTCTCTCCGAGGACAATGAACAAAAAAACAATGTCCACTCTCGGGGAGGACGATCGATGATTGCGCGATCACGAGTATTGCACTATACCGATATTGTAATGCTCTCTTGGCAGAAATCGAAATCGCCTCTCTCGATGTTAAGCGCGCGCGCGCGCACGCATAGAAGGGAAGGCTTAACGCGAGTCGAGGCACAATCGCAGAAGACGTTACAAACTTATAGCAATTCAAATGACGCACATTTGGGGGGGTAAAAATCGTTAAGATTAAATCAGATTATATATGACGACGAGAGCGTAGAGAAGAGGAGAAAGCACGGGTGAAGAACACTTCGAATCACACTTATTTCGTGTCGATGTGGATTCCAATTTAAAGACTGCGTATAATATTTGTAATATGTAATTTTATTATAGTATAGAAGATTTTGACATGTCAATCAATGTATTTGAACGTGTGAATTTTCCATGATAATTACCACTATGCTGATGTAAAGATTTATAATGGAAGTGGAAGAGTTGCGGTATCTCTCCTGTCTTCAGAACTGTGATTCAAAATGTTCTCGCCAAATGTTCTCTTCAAAATATATCGATACTAGCTCTATTAATACTTTCGCCGCTTATCGGTAAGCATTGAGGGCATCGCAGCAACGGAAGCGATCCGGAGATCGTAACTTTAAAACATCGTTTTATTTCGCATCTAATTAAATCGCGCTACATCAGGATACGTTTTAAAAGGTAGAGTACAAAAGCACAATCGTGATATAAAGGGACATAGACGAGAACATCGCCGTCGATATGAGATAAAAGGCAGCGAATTACAATCGGTGTTTACTCAAATGTAAAAACTCCGATCGTGGCGATTTCTCACATCCCACGTAATATCAAAGGGCGATCGTCGCATCGAGTAAGACTCGAAATAAAATCGCAGCATAAAAAATGTGTACGAGAGTCAAAACGAATTAATCTGTATAAAAAAATATCACAACACAACGGCTAATGCCGTTTCGTGCAATATTGATTCACCGTTAGCTCGATTCATTAATTTATTAAACTAATTTATTAAGATGTAAGATTGTTAAAAACGAAAAGAAGAAGAAGGCAGAGCGTGATAACGCGGTGATAAAAACAATCAATCCAATTCAACGCTATTTAGCTCGGGTCTGACGCAATCACGCGAACGCCTTTCTGCCGATTTGCACGGCAAAACACATGGAACGAGGAAAGGGGGGAAGGGATCTCGCAAAATGCTATATTGTCTTCGGAATATATCCTTGCTCTTTCACACCTCTCGCATCCTGACGTACGACTGAAACTTACTCGACCGCTCGTGTTAATACTTGGAGTATAAAAAGTTGCAATATTCTTAAAAGTACATACGCGTGCCCCTTTACGCATCGACATCTTCGACGACATTTACTTCTCTATTAAACACGTTCCGCTGAACGCCGGATAAAATGCTGGTGTGATCGTGACGGGCGCTTTTGTAAAAAAATAATTTAAACGCGTATAAAAGGAATCGTCGTTCGTCGCGAAGCGTCCCTGTCTTCTCTTTATGACACGCTCTCTGTTCCCCCTTGCCGTCCTTCTCTTTAGGCGCGTATGGATTAATTTCTATGTATATATATATATATATATATATATATATATATATATACATACACACACACATACACACACACACACATATATATTATAGGCTCAACGGGGGTTAAATACCTATGATCTATCTGCAAGGATCAAGTTACGCTCATGGTTAAGAGTACATTATTTGTAAATGGACGCAAAATGCTTCTCTTGCAAAAATACAATCTCCCTACTTCCCACCCTCTCTCTCTCTCTCTCTCTCTCTCTCTCTCTCTCTCTCTCTCTCTCTCTCTCTCTCTCTCTCTCTCTCTCTCTCTCTCTCTCTCTCTCTCTCTCTCTCTCTCTCTCTCTCTCTCTCTCTCTCTCTCTCTCTCTCTCTCTCTCTCTCTCTCTCTCTCTCTCTCTCTCTCTCTCTCTCTCTCTCTCTCTCTCTCCCCGTCTTTCACTCACTCACACACACACACACACTCCCTCTTTCTCTTTTTCGCTTTCACAATCTATCTCTCTTTCTCTCATCGCTAAGAAATATATAATTACATTGTCTATATTCACGCATCGTTATTCTCGTTTATTAAGTTAAGCGTCGCCTTCGTCGCGTTCGCCGCTTCCACGATCGGGGCTGATATATATACACACACACACACACACACACGCATATATATACATACACACACTCACAAATCGTTCCGCGATTTCCAACGATCTTGGCAAGAAAGGCGCGAAAGAGCACCGGCCATGAGTATCCGTGTGAATATCGAAACGCCAACGAGACTTTGTGCTGTGTAATCAAAGACACGGATACATATTTTAACGGAGAAACCGGCAGTTAGAGTGCGACATTATTCTTCATGACGTAAACCCCAAGTGAGCACTTTGAGATCCTGACATACTGACACATTGGAATCTGGCACTGAGCTTTGCTTACGAGATTTCCCACTGCGTTTACCTTTTTCCCGCGACAGAGGGCTTTCCGGATTTTGCGACATTTTGTGTTCTAAAATCTGTAGCAAAAATACTTCCCACGAGGGTGAATTTGTCGACTTTGTCCGCGTCTTGAATAATTTCGCCGAGTCGAGGGAGCTGCTTCTGAAAAATCTCGATATTACATCGTTTCGATTTATTGCTCCGACAATGTACCGCGAATGACAGCAATGTATCGAATTGTGAAAAATCATCATTTAATTTAGCCGACTTGAAAGCGAATGGATACACAAAAGAAGCCTCGGTATACACTTGAAAGCTCTAAAATTTCCAAAAATGTAAGGGTTGCTTGGATCTCGATGCCTCGGTACAGCATTAAGCGCATCCAGCAACATTTCTTCTCTTTACGATCTTTGCTTCGTCTCTCTTCGTCTATCCGCGAGAATTTCTGCCAGACACGGATCTTCTTGCCTCTTCCATTTCTCACATCACAAATTTTATCTTTCTTCTCTCTCTCTCTCTCTTTTGCTCTGGTCTGCACCCTTCTCATTTTTTTCTTCCATCAACGCGACTCGTTTGTCCCGGCGACAGAGTATTGAACATTTCGCGACTTTGTTCGCTTTCTTCGCTGATCGGTGACGGCGAAAGAAGAGAGCAACAGTAGGAATGCGCTTTCATGTTTTTTCGACGCTGCACGGCGACGATCGGTCGCAATTTCGCCGCTCGGTCTCGACAGAAGGCTCGTTTTTCGGCTCGCTTTCCGCTGTTCCCCGCCCGTTCCTGGTGAGTGTTCACCGACGACACCGGTGGTCTCGAATTCACGAGGGTCTCACAGACGACACAGCTCCGGTCACTCGAGACCCCTGATGAGGACCGCCAGGTCGCGAAACGAGGCACCGAGTTTGCCGGGAGTCGTTGACTGCTTCTTCAGCAAAATCGCCCGTATCGCTATGAGCTTCTCGTAGCAAGAGAGGCACTTGTGATACCTGACAATGAACGAAGAAACCAGGCTTCGGACAAAAGATTACGAAACAGTAGCCGATGTTGAACTGTCTCGACGCGATTTCGAGCGAGAAGCTCGAGTTTCCAGGGTAAATTTGAGCGATACTTTTACGAGAAAGTTTCGATCGAAAATACACGTATAAATATATTAATTGTATGTACATCGATGATAAATTTGCATTTTATTCAATCATGGATTAACAAAACGTCAATGAAGTTGTTTGTGAGTCACGTTTGTGACACGTTCAGCAGACGCGAATGATCCTATAAATATTTATAATATTAGGTTGATGCAATTTTTCATAGCAAAAAAAAGTTTATCATATCTCTATTAAATGTCGGGTGTTAAAGGAAGGTTTGAGTATATTTAGAGAAAAGCATAGTTATAACAAAGTTTTTGCCAAATGTCGAGAAAATATCAAGTCGATGTTATATGATGTTTTATTTAGAAAAATTATCCTTCAAAAGTGAATATGTTTTCTGCTTTATTTGACAAACACGAGGAGTCTTTTGCACACCGATGCAACAGTAATATTTTAATAACAAGACTCACCGTTCCTCACGCGATACGTCGACGCCGATCGTGTGAAGAGGCGCTTCCACATTGGATTTTATCACCGGGGCGAAGTTACGAAGGATAAGTCTCAGCGCCGAGCAAGCTACCGTTATGTACCTGAAACAGAAATCGAAGGTATCGCCAAGGTAAATAACGATCGGTTTCACAAATGTGTATGTCATCATTTGTTTATTTATTTGCAAAAAGGGAAAAGATCGCTCCTATCTATCGAAGAATGGAACGATTTTTAGGCGAGATAGGATGAGAACGGTCTCGCGACACCCACCGGGTTTCGTCCGGTCACGCCCGGTCCCGGTTGTAAAACGGCCGTTATTAGGCCGTTAACGATGCCAATAAATAACGAAAGGCTCGCCTGCCCGATTCACCACGCTTGCTTTCGGACGGGCGGTAAAGGGTTCGCGCTTATGCTCCCGTTCGAATCGGCGCGACGAATCGCACGCGGTCTCATGAATGCACCGCGCGATCGGGATTTCACGTGGCTCGTGACAAAGGGGGGGGGAGAGGAGGGATAGGATCGAGAAGAGAGAGAAGCGAGAGGATCGCTCGTATAAAAATAATTATTATTTTACTAAAAATCATTTTCGCAAAAACAACATAGTAATTCAAACTTACTTCCGAAAAACGAGAGGCGTCAAATTTTTCTATCGTGTCTTCGACAATAAATATATATTTATATTTATTAATATATTAATATATATATATATATATTAATTAATAATATATATAAATAAAAATATATATATTAATATATTAATTAATTAATTAATTCGACATTTTGTTTTCACGTTGCAAAACTGACATTTTTTAAAACTGGCGAACATTTACAAGGGCGAAACTGAGTGATGGAGGGATAAAAGACGAGAGAAGGGGTTGCGAAGAGCGATCGTGGAATTGGAAAACGATCGGGCGGGTTGAACCCTCCCTCGTGACACGCGTCCGGACATTCACCGGCGACCTCCTTTTTTTTTCTCACGCGGCACAAACGGGTGCAAAGGACGAAAGCCCGTAACGGATGAGCCGTGAAAACGACGAGCGAACTATATGCATACTGCCACTGCATAATATCGTTCGAGATGTGTATATTTGCCCGTCGATTTTGCCGCGTAAAATCAACGATCGCGAAATCGGGATACAATGTGTGAGTACCGTAAACTTCCCATGGAACATGCGAATCGACTCACATAAATACGTAAATACACAGCTGTCGCTGCTAGTCATCGAGTCTCCTTCTCTTTCTCTGTTACAAATATCAGGTTAATAAAGAGCCTTCAATTAGATATTTTTTTAAGAAGCGAATTTTGAAACTGATGTCAAAATGGCGTGTCTTTTTCTCGATTGTTGTGTGAGATAATTATGGGAGAATTAGGAGGAGGAAGCTGTCTGAAGGATGGCCGTACAAATTACAGAAAACAGGCCCGACAAAAAATCGCTTGACAGCATCCTCATTACGAGTGACTGCCGGCGACAGCTGCTCAGCGGCGGGTAACCAATTTGTATTCACTTTTACGGTATTTAAGCATATACGGAGCACCATGGTGCGACCGCTTATTAAGCTTATTTATAGAAGCATAATATCGCTAACATATCACGATATGCAAGTAGTTGATACAAAGAATTGAATTGATTCTCTAAGCTCTAATTCTAACTATTCTAGCTAACTCGAATTCTAGCACTGAAGATGAATATCCCCGAAATCCCGGAACGCAACGACTGAGGAAACGACTGACGATGAATTTTGCCGAAGAAAGACAAATTTGGCAAGTCGACCAAACGTAAATTAACACACACAAGTTAATCACAACTTTCCGCTGCGAACAAGCTGCTCGCAGCGAAAAATAGATCAGAGTTTCCGTCGCTATTTCAAGTAATTTTTCATTCACTTCGGATTCTTGTTATGTATATAATGTCGACTTTCGAGTAAGTGCCAATCAGAAGAAGCGACGGTAATTTCCGTGAGGTAACAAACACGTGGACGCGAGGCAGCAGCCGAGGGTGAGTAACGGCAGTCTGCGATCAAACGTCGGAAGGAAACAGTCGTTCCTCGTCACGGCGCTCAAGCAACAGCTTGGAACTGAGCCGGTTAATCACCCACTTTCAAATGGACACACACAAAAGACCATTTCCCTCCCCTCGGATTTATAGCTAAACGTCAAGGAAGCGGTGCGTATCTGACGAGAAACTGCTTAAATTTGCACGGTGCGCGGTATATATACGTGTGTCGTAGAACGAAACACGCAAACCTTCCGTTTCCTTCTATATTATTTTTATATATTTTTCACCATCTTTTGAATCTTTCGAATCGTCCATATTTGTAACTCAAAGACGAGCCTTGCTACGCACATAATCAGCGCTCTATACAATTATACAATTCCAGATTTGGAGCTTTCGCAATATTGGAAAATTCATACACCAAAGTTTCCTCGAGGGATCCTCTTTTACTCTGTCCTCTTTTGAGGATTCTCTTTTGCTCTATGCTCTTGTCAGGATCTAACACGCATCGTCGCGATATCGCGCATCCTATTCTCGATTCACACTCGCACGAACATTGACGGCCGTTTGACAGTGAAGATGACACTCGGCCGCTTGTTTGTCCGTCCTGCAGCATCACGGACGTTGGCATATGCAAACGCGCGCGCGCGCGCGCGGCACTTGAGATTTCAATTCAAATCGCGCGAACAATACCGCCCGTGCGCGGACAGAAAGCTGTCGTTGCTTCTCGTCGCATTTGCATCTGCCGCTGTCTTGCATTGTCTCGGCTAATTTCGCGAGCCACCCCACGCTCGCCTCGGATTACCCCACCCTGCTAAATTAGCCATTCCCATACTGCAACCCTAGACCTCGCGAGCCTCGGGCGAACGAGCGTTTCGAGAACATGGCACCCTTTCGCAAAGAGGGCTTCTCCACTTTCCGATGCAATACCGTGTCGACAGTAGCGAGTAGCGACTGTTTGAAATAGCGATTACTTGAAAACAGAGGAACGCATTTCTTAGCGTGCAAAATAGCGAGCAAGCACGAAGATGATGAAGCGATCATCAATTGCGATACTCACATTTCATATTTACTTTGAAGGAGATCGCTGATAGGACCGAGCAGAGAATTACACATATCCAAATTCCACATTGTTCTACAAACAAAGATACAAAGATACATATTGATTAAGATTAAGCGGCGATTGTTTCCACTCGGAGGTTTCGACAGAGGCCAGTTCTTTTTAGATGAATCAGTGCTGCACTGAAGGTGCTTTTCTTTGTACACAACTAAATATCAGTTTCATTCCGAGGGCAAAAAGTGTGCTCTTTGTTGATTCAGCGGAAAAGACCAGACTTTGCGACAAATCGGGAGAGCTACGTACGGTTTTAACGTGAGTATGCCCAAGAGATCGACGATGACTGCCAAATCGTTCATCGTCACCGCAGAATCCACCGCGGCCTGAAATCAATAGAGCCCGCTTTGTATCTCTCAGCGACTGCATCGACCGCACGTGTCATACCGCTCCACGTGGAGGACGGATGTAAACGACTACCTTGAGATCTTTATTGTGCCATAGGGAGTATATGATCTGCAGCGAGCGATGCCGGCTTTTAACTACCGCCATCATTGACTCGTGGCTGCGCATCATGCTGTTTAATACCTCGGCCTCGGACATTTCCGTTAGCACACCCATCTGTGGGTATCCCAACGCCGTAGAACCGGTGTAACTGTGCTGTAACAAATAGGGCCTACTTGAGAATTCAGGTCAGAACAATATCGAATTTTTAGACGGGCAAAATGGAAGCCGAGAGCTTTGTTCCCACGAACGTTACAGCCATAATAAGAAAATTTTGTCTCTCGATCCTTCTGCAATCCCCCGTCAGATGTAGGATGTCAGATGAGTCAACGGGACTATCGTGACGAACATATTTTTTCGCCGCACTCACCGGTAAAAAATTCTCAACGTCCAATCCGTAGGGCTTGTCGGCGCTCATCGGCACTAGCTCTTCCTTCTCCGTGTCCTCCGCGCTGTTTCGTATCTGCGAGACGCGCACGTCGAGCTTAGGATTCGGCGGGATCTGCGCTTTGTTCGGCTTTCTCGTGGACGACGACGCGGTGGTGGAGGGGTTGCGTGCCGACAGCGCGGTTGAGGTAGCGAAGTTTCTATTGAGCGACGTAGACCTAGACTGCGCGGTGTTCGGCCTGTTGAGCGCCGGGTCGGATGGACTGTGCCTTATACTATTAATTCTGGAAAAAGAAAAAAAGAAACGCGCGTTTCACGGAATTTCTCCTATATTTCTCTAAGAAGCGGGAAACATTCTATAATAATATATAATTAAATAGAGTACATACGCTGTGCGTATCTTATACTTAAATACTCCATATATATTATTTTATGTTCGAAAAGAATATATTCTTTGTTGAAATAATTGTACGTGCCATATACTATATTAACAAATTCTATTTACTTTGTGTGTTTGATTATTTCTCATATATTACCTTGCCCAGATATGGAATATATTCCATATGTACGAACATTTCGATGGAAGTGAAAATTTCCATCGTTCTAATATTAATATCATCATATGGCAAAGGCGGCACTCACTGTACAGGATAATCGCTCTCGTATCCCTGCTCGCCATCCCTGTTGCACTGTCTCTTCAGATAATGCTTCGGAGAATCCGGACTGGGTACTCTGTTCTTCAGCTTGCCGTCGTCCATCACGGGTATGACGGCAGCCATCGGCGCGACCCGCGGCGTCAAGGTCGAGTTGGATCTCTGCGGCCCCAAGGGCTGCGGCGGCAACGGCAACGTGTCGTTCGCTATCGTTTTTCTACCAGGGAACGGGGTGATGTTCTGTCTCAACGGCGGTATAGAGGCCAAGTTCTTGGATGCTCTGCTCAGGCCGTTGTTCGCCTGCAGGTTCGCTCTGATCTGGCTCGTCGAGGTGATCGAGTTTCGGTGAACCGGAGGCGAGGACTTGATCGGCTGGATGCGCACCGGCACAGGTTTCGCTAACGATAACGTGGGCGCCGGCGGTGGTGGGGAAGAGGGTGATTGCATCGGCGGCACTTGGTCGCGTTCGATCGTGCTCAGATTCGACATTGAGGTAGAGAGATTTTGCAGTATCTGCGGCTGCGCCGGATCTATAAGAGAAAATCAACAAACGTGTGATATCCGTTCCGTAACGACGAATTGTTCGGTTACGTTGTGATACATTAGATTTCAATTTGGGATATCGGCAAGGGGAAACACACATTTACAGAGAGAGAGAGAGAGAGAGAGAGAAAGTTTGTTCATGTCCATTATTTGGCTTGTGCGTTACACAAATCGCTCAAATCCCAAGCTGTTCCGGAGGAAGGACAGAAGGATTCACTGTGCAAGATTAACATCATCACACAAAACTCACCTATGTCGTGAGGCTCCTCGTAAGCCTCAGGTAGTTCAGGGGGTGGAGTGCGAGACACTGAAACATATCACATGCGCGGCATGCTCATTCACAAGACTATACAACACTCACGCATTCATGGTTTAGACATGTGTGTGTTGGACAGAGTTTGTCACAGGGTGATCGCGAAAGATTGGATTAGACGTCAGGACAAAAGCTTTACACTAAGAAATTTCTCTTCGGTCGTAGAGGAAATGAGGACAATGCGATATTAAGACGGCTGTTACTTACACGCCCTGCTCGGTTGGAAAATGTCTCTGTACTCGGTTACGTTGGGTATATCCGCGTAAGTGACCTCATCCTCCGGATCTGTGCCGGATTTATCCGCTTCTTCTATCGTTCGTACGTCCAACCTGGAAGTGCAGTAAAGACTTTTACATCGATTCGCTAAATCTGGTTCCTTTTACATTACCGCTTTAAGCTTTTAGATGCTTCAAATATTGAAATATTTCAAAATTGAAGTTTTTAATCTGTATTAACTGTATTAACTGTTGATTAACTATTTTTTCAATTAAGATCTCTGGTGACCATGTGAAATCATGACGTAAAAAACGAGAATCTGTCTTCTTTCACGCTTCAAAATCAATCTCGAATCTGTTGTTTTACACTCGATGATACAAACTTATCAAATATATTAAAGACTCTTTTTCAGTTTAATAGTTTCTAAATATAGTTGTCACACGCAGAAGTCTTAAAATCGATTCTGGCAAAATAAAACTCACGTGTGTTTTTTCAATGCAATCGGTCGTTCCCTGGAGAAGCTCTTCCTCAGGGAATTCCCATGACTGAAAGGCGAGCCCACGGTGGATATTCCACCTAGTGGCGCGATTTTCTTCAAGTCACATACGTATAAAGTGACATTTGCTGTGTGAAAACTCGCACCGATCTGCAACGTAACCAAACAATCATATATGTGTGTTACACTGTAAAAAGCGATAAAAAAAATTCATTCTTTATATGACGCGAAAGTCTGAAAAACATATTCTGCTTTACCAATTGGTTCTGAGCCACTGCTATGTCTTGAACCTTTCCCCAGCCTGTGGGTATTGTGTCTAAAGTCCTTCCTGGTTCCCAGCCATAAACTTTTAAAACATCGTGACTACCGGCGAATAGACACTCTCCACCTTGACTAAAATACAGGCACCTATAAAATAGTAAGATGAAAAATTAGCAACGACGATCAGGTGAAAGGTGATTTTACCTTGTAAAATAATTATAATCTCAAAATTATATTACTCACCGAATGGCAGAAGAATGACTTTGTTCTGTAGAAGATACGAGTTGAAATGACTCTAAATCCCAGAAGTGGACTGTCCTGTCCACGCTACCACTGGCTAATAGGAATTCATGGGGATGGAACTCAACGGTGATCGCTGACCCTCTGTGTTCTGAAAATTCCCTTAGTTGTCTACCAGCCTTTAGGTCCCACAGCTAATTTAAAAGTAACACAAACATCAATATTTTCCTCTCACTCTTTTCTGCGCATAAAGGAGGCATATGAACAAAAATGAAAAAATCAAAAGGTAACATACAAGATAATAGACACTTAACAAAGGTAATAAAAGATACAAGTACAAAAAGTATGCTTTTCTTTTTTTAAAACAAAGATTAAAGCTGTATGATACTGATGTTAAATCTCAAATAATATCATTTCGATATTCGATTCCTGTTTTAAGGAAGATTTAGAGGAGTGTCTGATTTACCTTAACCATTCCTTCCTCCCCAGCACTGGCGATCCATTGCCCATCAGGACTGAATTTTAGGCTGTTGACAGTCCTATTGTGACCTTTATACGTGAAAATGCAACCTTTCCTTCGAATATCCCACAACTTTATCGCGGTATCCAAACTGCCTGATGCCAATAACTCTCCATAAGGATGAAAGTCCATACAACGTATTCCAGACTTGTGTCCTGTCAGTGTACGTGCCAATTTGGCATGTTCTAGATCCCAAATCTTCAGTGCACCTGTCTGTGAACCCGCACATACCAGATCTTCTGTTTGGCCAAAGCGTACACATTCTATTGGGGTGGTATGGCCACTTAAGCTCTAAAAAGAAACAGTTCACTTCAAGTACTGTAACATAATATCAATGTTTGCATACTTGTGTTAATATCGAAATTATAACCATCAGTTACTCCAACAGATTTAATAATGATAACAAGATCATTATATCATTAATTACCATAATACAATTTTGCTTTCCAACAGCCCATAAGTTCACTTTTTTGTCATCACCACCAGTTACCAAAACTCGTCCCGACTTGTGACCTAATGCCAAGCAATTGACATTTGGTATATGGGCAACAAATTCCTCTGAAAAATAGAAAACATAAAATAAATGATTGACAGATAAATCATAAAAAAAAAGCCCGATTGAGACAGTTTGTAAACAGACTGTTTATCCATATCTATGAGCAAGAAATTGAAAAAAAGATAGTTTTACATAACATGATATCAATTATATAAGTTGTAAACAAATCTATATCATTTTTCTTAGCCTAATGCTTTTGAAAAGGTAGATGCTACATATATTTATCGACGGGAAATTCATCTACAAAAAGGAAATATCCACTGCGTTTGCATAAAACCGGAAATACAATAATTCCTAATACAGCTATATAAAGAGCTATACATCATTCGAATTCGATGACGACTCGTGTCTCCGCGCGTCACAGGACCTGTCATCCTTGCCGCAGGCTAAATTCTCCGACGAGAGACAGCTGTAACTATAATTGGAAGAAACCGCGAGATAGCGGTCGAGTGGGCTGTCGTAAACAGACAATGTTTATCGCGAGCGAAAGACACACAAAACGGAATTTAAAAGTTGTCGTATTGTCGCGGAACGGGAAGCAGAATACATGAGAACAAAGGCCCTTTAATCGCTCGATAAAGAGAAAGATCTTACGGAGTTTCCAAGATCTCTTTGCGGAAGAGGCCATGTTCCTGCGTGCACGGACTTATTTGGCAGCGGCGACGACAGGTCGGGATCTTTTCGCTCGGCGCACGTATGATCTCGTCTCGCTGCCGCCGCGCGAACGTAACATGTTTGCCACCAGCCGTTGCTGACGCGTTCGCCTCTTGTCTCCTTCGTTCTCTTGACAAAAGTACCTCTTGTCGCGATCGAGGCACCGCGACGCGTGACGTCGCGTCGCGTCGCGTCGTCTTATCGCCCCCGCCGCCCCTAATGAACGTAAAAAAAGAAAACGGTCAAAACGATATGAGAAACTCGAAATGGTTGATGAATCGATCCTTCTTTCATCGAAGAATCGATCTTCTTCTCGATACTTTTTGAAATTTGTCGACTTTCGTGTCGATAAAAAAGTCAATTGCTAGAATCTGAAGATCCGGCTGCTCTGTCGTCGAGTCATATCACGAACTCGATTTGTTGTCGAAATAGTGGTGACTCGAACGAAGACTTTTAAATTAAGTTTGGTTATGTTATAAATTATGTTAGGCTGTGATCAAAGTATCTTGTAAGTGATGGCTTATGTGTAAATACTAAATGTAAATAATAAGAAAAATGTCAAAAATTAATAACAGGTAGTATATAATTTTCTTTTTTCAGATTTAAATGAAAATAGCGAATCCTACTGTTCTACGTTCCAAGATATATTTTAACTTTTATTAGATTCATATACTTACCAAAATGACGTCGAGACTTTGCACTTATGGTGTTTTCGCAGTTGGAAAGCTAAATTATAAGATTCCTCTGCCGAAAATTCTCGGACGAAACTGTGTGTCATATGTCCAAGGCCAATCTCCTCAACCTCGTATACGTGAATATTTTTACTACATTGATCACCAAGGCATGGTATTTTTTGTTTAACTATGTATTTGATGGGCAAGTTACATGGTCTTGCTACTAGCTATATAATATATAAATAATATTACAATATCTTCCTTTCCACTTATGTATTTTTTCAGTTGTTCCTGGATGATGTTCGCATAAGAAATTTTACTTCTTGCTTTAAAGGTAAAAAATAGTATTTACATAATTCAGAAATATTATATTATTGACCATCATATATTCACCATAAATTGTAACAGATAAAAAGTTCTTGGCATTCTTCTTTAAACACCTGAAGGAGAATAATACTGGTCGTTATATGAGTGACTTTCCATTTCTGTCAATCTGTGGTATAGAGAGGAACTTTGTAAGATGCGATGACTTACCGTTGGTCTTCACCAAGGTGATTCAAAAACACAACACAGAAACTGATACTGAAGAAGATTGGTTCAGTTATGCACATGCAGATGATCTGTTGACGGTAATCATACATAATTGCACCAGGCTTTGTTACATAAATTGGAAAAGGAGCAAGTTTTGTTAATAAATTTGCATTTGCTATTTTTTATAGGTGCGTTTTGAGCCACAAAAATTGTTTATGAACATTAGTACAGGAAGAGTATATCATCCTGCACCAGAAAAAGTAGGAGGCATCGGTCTTGTGAGATCTAAGCTAGCTATAGAATTTAGCACATCCTTTGATTTTGAGAATGGTGAAGCAAATGCGCCAACACACTTCAAGTGGAAAAATAAACTACACGAACTCGACACAGAGTGGTATAGAGATAAACTAATGCATAGAGTTCGACAAAAATAACAGCAACTTTATAATTCTAATAAAAATAATGTACATTTTGTAAAAAGGATCATATTATAAAAAATAGAGTAGTCCAAAAGTCGGTTGTCCTATTCAATTTCTTACGATTCTATTATAATCTGCAAAGAAGATTATAAATCTACATACTGTAAGAAGTTTGAATTTTTCCAATAAACAAATTTTCTGAACATCTAGTAATTAATGTTTATATATTTCATGTTTCGTTACTATATAGACGAGATATCATAAACTATGGCTAGGGTGTCATCACTAACAGTTAGTAATCTTTCCCCATTTCTGAAAAACAAAACATACTTCACTGATTATCAAACAGATCAAACATAATTGCATTGTCCATTTCCAAATTTCAAAAACACATGTATTAGAATTTATATCTATATTCAATGTGGATGTAATTATCAAAATGACTTACTGTGATATATGTAAATCTAATACATCATCATTGTGTCCTTTAAATGTTTGAAGACAGTTGCCAGTTTTCCCATCGATACACCTTGCTACAGCAGATCCACTCGCAAAGAATATTGATGTATCGCCTTTCCATAATATTTTGGTCACAAGGCCTCCCATATTAACATCTACTTTGTGTCTAAGAACCTGAAGAAAATCCCGCGACTTTATATCTGATACATCTTATCTATTAAAGAGGAAAGCTTACCTATAGAGGTAAAAGAAAATAATACCTGTTTCAAAATGTCATATATAAAAATTTCCCCGTTTACTGTTCCAGTTGCAGCAAGGGGAAGCAAAGGATCTTTACAGAAAGCTACTGTCTCCGCCCAATTCTCGTTATGCGCCGATTCGTCTATTGTATCTTCGTCTATTGTATCTTCGTCTTCTTGCGTTTGTTTGCAGCTTTCTGCAGGTACGACTGTAGATGACAAATCTTGAAGCACACAAATCACCTGAAAAAGATCTATTAGTATTAAAACTGTCTCAAGTTGCAAAGTTACATAAACATTCGAGATCATTGACGGTCTTTTTTACCTTGCCATTGTGTGCTGTACTTAGTATAGTTCTGCCGTCTATCGCCACCGAAATTATCAAGTTATATTTTATATAACAATCGATGGCAGTAACAAGTTTGTTATGACCTTGACTGATGGGTATGGTGGCAGATACAGTGCCATCTTTTAAATGTATTACACGAATCGTACCATCCATGTGTCCTACTGCTAGAAACTTTCCTGTAACCAAACATCAATATTCCAATATCCAAATATCAATATTATAATCCCAAACATTACTTTGATTAACATGATTAATTAGTTTTGTTTTCAACTGATATAGCATATTAGTATATACCATCTGGAAAAATAGCACCACAGTTCACTGGAGAGCCAGTTCCATGAAAGATTTTACACTGTCCCTGTGGTAGCTTCCACATATAAATCTGTCCAGTTTGGTCGCTTGCTAAAAAGACATTGGCAGATGGATGCCATTTTGCCCACTGGATGGCAAGAGAATGATTATCAACAGTACAATTGTCATTACCAATTTGTGAGAGACTATATATCTTCTTACTAAGAATACTCACTTGTAAATCGCTTATCTCAGTCCGCCAGCAACGAATATTATTGCTCAACTGCCACAATTGTATAATGCCTGATATGTCACAAGTGACCAAGTAGGTGTCATTATGATTAAACTCTACAAATACAATACTATCTAAGTGATCAGAACATGTTAGGTTAGTTCCCCCTGTAGTGGTATTCCAAGTAAATGCTAAATTTTGATCGCCTCCAGTTGCTGCCAGCTCACCATTTCTGCTCAGACAGCAACAAAACACAGAAGCATTCAGTCCTAAAGTGAAAATTATTTTTTGCAATTTTCAGCTAAGTTACTTTGCTGATAAATTTCATTTCTAAATCAGTAATTGCTTCTTACCACCAACTGTACAATGACCAGTGAAAACACACACAGCCAAAGGATCTTCTTTCACTGAGCTTGCAGGATCTGATGGATGTACAATGGATGTCAAATTATTAACAGCAGCTATATCCAAAGTTGTATTCACATCGATAATTTCTTCTATGTCTTCATTTGAAAGCTCATCCATTTCTTCCAAGTCCATTTCAGATAATGATGGTGTAGAAGAAGATGGTGTATTATTATCCAAGATCTACATAAGAATTAAGTTAAAATTAGATTCACATTTATGTTTTTTTATATTTATTATCTTAATCTTTAATATTCTTAAGACATGCTGATATGCCAGATAATATAAAGATAAACAAACGTTTCTGGAACATTAATTTTTCAGAATACAAGATTAAAAACAAAAGAATATGAAGATTTACTGATTTTTAACCACCAGACCATGTATGCTTGAAGTATCTTTCAAAAGATTATTGTAACGAATACCGCATAACCTAATACTTTAAATACTTTGAGTATTTAAAAGGTTAGGACATAAACCAAAAGAATTCCAGGTATGTTGTTACTATTGGTTGTGGTTCAATAAATGGCTCTGAGCAGAGAGTTTTATACTGGTTGCGTTCAGAAAAAAAAGCGCTCACTGAGAGACGAAAAACCTGCGTAATGCCGTTAACGACACCGACAACTGTCGATATGCAGGTACGGAATACCAGCCTCAGCACATGCAGGTTTTACCGCCGAGACCTAAAAGTGGATGTGGCATCATAGTTCTCCTTTCAAAGTGGATGCAGATGGCGCCCTTTCCCAGTGCGGAAAGTCGGTGTCGCCGAAAACGCCGTGTTGGCCGCTCTCAGGTTCCTCTCTGGTAGCAGTATCACGAGCACGACAAACGCCGGTGTGCTCGCTCTCTCTCTCTCTCTCTCTCTCCTCTCTCTCTCTCTCTCTCTCTCTCTCGGATTTCTCTCCGGACGCACGCATGCATTCGTAATGTTCCGTGCTCGTTTGCTCGGTCGCTCGGTGCTCCCGCTCGCGGCCGAAAATGACACATCGCGACGCGCGGGCGACGCGCGATAACCACGCACGCATCGAGAGGAGCGTCGTCGGGCAGAAGCAATGCGGTTTCGCGCACTTGATCGAGAAAAGAAGTGATTGAGAAAGATCGCGGATTCTCCGGATATCGGCCGACTAAGCTCAATACGGCACGGCGTGACGCGACGCGACGTGCCAGCGGACAATGGCAATCTCGAGCTGGGTGATGTGGGGTAGAAGTCTGCGAACCGGCCGATCTCACCGAAGTGCGTGGTGACGATGCTTTATTGTTGAAATTCGCACGCGAGTGGTCTCACGCGCTTCACGCACCTCTCCTCGCTTCTTTCTGTTTACAGGCCGCCAGGACGCCGAGGACAACTGTGTGCAACTCGACCTGTCTAGAGGTTAGTAACCTAACCTACCAGAGAGAGAGAGAGAGAGAGAGAGAGAGAGAGTGAGAAAGAGAGAGAGTGAGAAAGAGAGAGAGGGAGACAGGCAGATCGTTGCCTCCCGTTTGATCGGTGTCCCTATGTCGATGACGTTTGTAGCCTTGTGTGTTCTTGTGCGTTTATTTAACGTTATATCGTTTTTCCGCTAACGTACGTTATGTTACAAAAATCGGTGTGTCATGTCTTTCTGGCGTTCAGCCTGTTCTATGTGTGTTAACGAAATCGAAAAATAGTAGAGTACATTTCAATATGCGTCAAACGATACAGATTTGTTGCTGTTTGAGAATTTGCACGGTGTCCTTAAGTTAAAGATGATAAAAAGAAGGAAAAGAAAAGTTCAAGCACTTGAGAATACACGCTCGAAGTCTCTATCTTTAATTCTTCTTTTAATCATCTTACACATCAACAACATATCACACTGTCTGGGCAACTTTTTGTTTGAGTACAACTTGTTGGTTGTCTCTTATTTGTCCTCTTTTGTGAGCAATTGGCAAGCAGCATAAATTGATTTCTTCTACAGGATTAAAGGAGAACGTCAAGGAAGTCTTGACTAATCTCTGCCAGCGTCACAATGTTCCAAGTGTAAAAAAGTTAGCTTACCTCAACGCTATCGTCAAATTAATCAGCGAAACCGATGCCCAGGATTATGGATATTCAGCGGACGATCTATTTTGTTGGTAAGACTTGTCAATGATTTATTGCAAACAGAACAGAATAGACGCATGTTGCACGGGATACCTCGTTACTAATCACACTGGGTTACCTGTGTACATTTCTTCACAGCTTACGTGTGGCACTGGTGCACGAGGCGACCCAGGTACGCGCCGCCGCATTGCGAGCCGTACGCTACATGCTCAAAAAGGAACAAGATGTCATCGCGATCAACAGACTGCAATACCCGTACTTCTTGGCGCGCAGCATGGACGTCAATCTGCGCAACGAGATGGAGAGGATGCAGGCTCTCCGACTCGTCAGGCGGATCCTGGTGTTGGCCCCTAAGCATTTCAGTCCGACTTTAGCAAGATCCCTCATCAGCCTGACCAACAGCGGCATAGAGGAGCGAGACCGAGCGTTCCGGGCATTCCTGGCGACCCTCTGCGAACTAGGTGTCCTGAACTCGAATCTGCTGATCAGTTGCGGCGGTGTCGGCACACTGGCAAGAGCCGCGATGACCGGCCAGAGCGCGGTCGTGGTCGAATCTATCGTGGGAGTATTGCTGAGACTGTTGAGTAACCCGGACACGCGCAGCAGCGTTTCCCTGCTGTGCTTCGCCGCGCCCTACTGCGAGCTGCACTCCTCCAACATCGAGAGAACCAAGGAGGAGCGCGAGCAGAGGTTCGCCGCCAGCAAATTGGCCCTGCTGAGCATTCTGCGTTCGTACCCGGGCGTCATCCACTTCTGTCGGCCCGACAACAATTCCGGCCTCAAGGCTATCGCCGATATCCTGTACGTGGAGCAGCTGGAGGTGCGCGGGGCCGTACTGGAGTTGCTTTACGAGTTGTTGGACCTGCCACTGCCCACATGGACCGACGAGCCGGACGTCGCCCTGGCCGCGGTGGACCCCAGCCGGTCGAGGGATTCGTGGAAGCTCTCTGAAGGCTTCGTCGCGGCCGAGGGTAAATTCATCCTGCCGTCCTTGTCGTCGCATTGTCCCAACATCACGGAGATCCATCTGGCGCTATTGGTGTACGTTCTGCTGGAGTGCGGCCTCCACCGCGCCTTGGCGGAGACCATCGTCTCCAGCGATACCTTCATCTCGGTGCGCGCGGCAGTACTGTTGGGCGCACTGCTGCACCTGGCACATTCGTTGCTGCCGTCTGAAGTCTGCGACCTCACGCCACCCTTGCCGAACCTGCTGGAGCATGCGAGCGCCGGCAGACATCAGGCGCTCGCAGCGGTGACGATCCTTGAGCGAATGCACACGATGATGCGGCGCAGACCGAGTCCGGCGAGTCTCTTCCTAGACCGGATCCTCCAAGGTGGCACTTGGCTACGACCGACTCTGCCGCGACGCCGACGACCATCCGGACGGCATTGGCTGCGGATCGGCCGCGAGTCGCCGATCACTCCGTTGCTGAAGGACGCGCAGGTGCTCATCTCGAAGGACGCGCTCGCGTGGAACTGGCCGATGATCCGCGCAATCCTGCGCTCGAGGGAGGACGCGACGCGCATCCTGCACGACTCCGACCACCGGCTATTCATGAAGCGGCTGGTGCGTTACTTCAAGCCCTCGTGGAACGGTTACAGCAGGATCGAGCTCGGCACGAGCGCGACGTTCGCGCGCGAGGCCACCTTGGCCGGCTGCGACCTGCTCAACTGCCTGCTGGAGTTGCACGAGCCGGAGGGTGCCCGGCTGCTGAACGAGCTGATCGGCGACGTAGCCGAGCAGATCAGCAAGATCCGCGCCGCCGAGTCCGCGCACGATTGCTTGTTCTCGCCGCGGCATATGTCCACCACGTGCTGCCAAAAGTACTTCTTGTTCCTCGGCCAGCTCAGCCACTCGGCCAAGGGCACAGTGGTGTTGAAGAGCTTCAATCTCCTGGAGAAGCTGCAGGACCTCGCGTTGGTCACCAACCATGACTGCTACGTGAAGCTGATCGTCTCCAGTCTAGATTACTCCCGGGACGGGCCCAATAGGAAAGTGCTCAGCAAGATTATCACCGAGGCGACGTTGTCGAGCACTCGGCTGTACGCCACGCAGTTCCTCCGGCTGATACTGCGCGCGCGCATGACGGACGCCGTGCGCTGGGCGATGTCGTTGCTCGCGGAGCGGCTGTCGGACGCGTCTATGGCCGTGGCGTTGACGGCGCTGGACGCGCTGCACGAGGCCTGCGAAGAGACGGAGTACTTGGAGGCGATGTTGCAGCAAGGTGGGCAGTCGCGCGACTGGGACAAGTGGCTGCAGCACTTGGGCGACAAGGGTTACCTGCTGAAGATCCGACTGTACTCGCTGCAGCAAGGCTTCGCCAGCCTGTCCGCGCCGGCGGAGGAGCTGGAACGGTGGATCGGCCCGGGCAGCTTCGCCGAGCGATACGTGGGCCTGGTGGAGAGCGAGATACACGACGCGCTGACGCGCCGCCAGCGCGACGAGACCGGCAGCTACCAGAGGAGGACCAGCAACTCGCCGATAGTGCCGCACGACATCTTCACGCCGCCGCATCTCATCGGCCAGTTGGCGCAGCACGAGTTGGGCATGCAACTGCTGCTCCGTCGCAACGTCATACAGCGTTTCGCCCGGGTGCTCCAACGATTCAAGCTCGAGTTTGGCAGCGGCGGCGGCGGCGGCGGTGGTGGCGGTGGCCGCCGCGACTCCGAGTCCAACAACTCCAGGACCACCAGGACGTGTCGCCTGGTGGTCACCGCCGCCAACGCTACCGCTGCCTCCACCGCCTCTACTGTCGCCATCACCGCCGTCAGCACTGCCGTCGCCGTCGCCGTCGTCGCCGCCGCCGCCACCGTTACCGTCACCACCGCCGCCAGCAGCAACAGCAACGTTGCCGACGAGGGCAGCCTCGCCGCGCCGACGGACGCGTCCAGTGGCGTGGACGAGACTGCCGAATGCAGCAGTCGTCTCGAGACCATCCCTGATTCCGAGATGACCGAGTCGCGCACCGACGGCTCGCTCGCCGAAGCCCGCCGCAAGACCAGCGTGGACGACTCCAGGCACACCACTCCGGAGCGCAGCTGGAGGATAGAGACGATCGAAGCGTCGAGGGACGAGCAGCAGCACTCCAGCGTCGGTCCCAACGGCGGCATCCTCAAGGTCAAGTCCGCTCTGTGGGCGTTGGGCCACGCCGGCACGTCGGCCGCCGGTGTCGAACACCTCGTGCACTTGGGCATCGTCGAGATGATCACCTCCATGGCAGAGACGTGTCCGTATTACTCGGTGCGCGCCACCGCGATGTACGCACTCAGCCTGATCGGCACCACTCGCGCCGGTGCTGACGCCTTGATCAACTTTGACTGGCCGTGCGTGAGGCACCGGCGGGGCGACAACTGGCCGGTGGTACCGCCCACCACGAGGTACCCGGTGCCCAGCCCGGTGCCTGTGCAGCGACATCATCGCAGTCTCAGCGATGGCAAGCCGGAGCTACCGGAGCCGATCGCGCGCCGGACCAGGAACCGATCCGAAAGTGCGGCGACGGACCTCGAAGCGCGGCGATACGTTCTTCCGTGAGTTGTCTTCGGATCAGTTTCTTCTCTTTCTCCCTTTCTCTTCCCACGGTAACTAATTTTGCGTACCCTTTTCAGAGAGAGAGGCGAAACCCCGAGTCCCGTCTCGAGTATACAAAGATTAAGCCAACAAGACGCTGAAGGATACGCGCGATTACGTAGTTTACAACGCTATCGCAGGCCGAGTTACTCCCAAAGTAGCTTAGAAGTACGTAAATTATTCTTCAGGATGATATTCGCATAGCGCGATCTGGACTATGCGTACACGTAGAGTCGAATTATGAACGTCAAGTCTGAGGGAAGGTTTCCGTGAACGTTACTTGGCATCTTTGGTTCCAAGTGCGATTGAACGACGCAGGCGCGCACATAATTCCTGCTGCTTTTTGCAGATGTATAGTTTAGATGGTCGGTTGTCGTTGCAAAGTCTCTCGGAGCTGGACTCGTCCCGCAGCTGGATCGCGGAGAACACGATCCTCACCCCGACGCCGCCGCCGCCGCCGGAGGACGACAGCGAGAATCTGTTCTACATGGGCGTCTGCCTACCCAGGAGGCTGATCACCATCTTCCCCGAGCCCCCTCAACCGACGCAGCCCAACATCTTCGAGGACATTGTCCGATCCGAGCTGGAGACTACGGAGATCGACGAGGAGTCCAGCTCGGAGTGCGACCCGGACACCGAGCACTGTCGCACGTGTCTCGTTTGTTATCACGGCAAGAGCAGCACCAGGGACACCACGGAGCAGGATGTAAAGTTGCGAAGGTGATGAGAACATTTCTCTTTGCAGACTTACTCCCGTACTTTGGTCGCGCCTCCATGTCAGGACGCACTAATGAAGATACATTAATATATCGATTAGGATATATTAGGAGAGCGAAGTCTTACTTTAAAATGTTCTACACGCAGAGAGATACTTAGGCATACCCAACGGCTCGCAAACCCAGTGTGGTATCGTCATAGTCGTCAGGCGTTGCTCAGACTGAGGCAACGTTATCCTGAGAAGTTTCAGGTACTGTCGCATCCTTCGCTTCCTTTTATTCCCTCGCTGGAAAACTGCCCCGACGTGCTCGGAAGGAGTGCTTTCTTACTTCCCTTGTTAGTATTATCGTAAGAACGAGCATTCGCGCTCACTGACTCTGCGCTTCTCTCTCTCTCTCTCTCTCTCTCGACAGGATACCTGTTTATTTTCGGATGTAGCCGCACGTTTGGGCAGCGGTACATATAGAATGCCAGCCCGGCGATTCCTGCAAGAATTATTTCTAGATTCTCCATTCGAGGCGGTAAGTTTTGCCTTCGCCACACGGTTCTCGTTCGGTAATCACGTTTCGCTGTTCCCCAATGATGAATTCCAGTTTCTGTTGGAATCATTTCTCGTAGCCTCGCAAGCTTTCATTTAAGACACTTACCAGAAAATTGTATGAACTTTCGATCGAATATGTGTAATTATTTATCGCATTATTACTATATTATGTTTCTTGTAATAATTTTATACAAATTTTATTCCATTCAGGAATTATATACGTAATCCAAAATATGATTCTAACGGGTAAACTGCCAAACCTTCCAATAGGTAGACATACTGTTGTTCAAAAGTAATTCACGCCAATGCCTTGCAGCTTTACATGGAACCGGTCAACATTCTGAAGATTCCGATCGGCACTGAGGAGAATCCACCGCAGTCGTCAGCTGTTATCGCACCCGAGGCTAGCCCGCGTCAGGCCGTCGGCCTCGCAGAGGGCAAGGTCAATGGAAGGCTCACACTGACTGAGATACAAACGGTGCAATTGGCGTCGGTGGCCGAAGAGGGCTCCTCGGCCAGCGTGGAGTCGTGCAACGCGGAAGGGACGCATCGTTGCAAGAAGTCGCAGGAGATAATGGTGCAGCCGACAGCGGTCGCGGCGGCTGCGGCGGCGGCAGCTGCGGCTGCGGCTGCGGCTGCGGCGGCGGCGGCCGCCGCGACGACCGACCGGCGTAGCGACGAGAAGATTATAGCCGAGATCCTGAAGCCGGAGGAGCGGATACGTTTGTCCAAGAGTTCCGATAAATCGTTAAAAGTATCAGGTACAAACACTGCCATTAGCCTTGATTCGTAGTTTTCGACTGTTAATCGCTACTGTACATATTTTGTATTAAAGAGGACGACGACATAAGAATAAAATACACTGCCGAAATCACAGATAAATACATGGAGAAAAAAAATATATATATACATGACAGAGATCAGACTCGCCCTGTGCGTGCGTGCGTGTGTGTGTATTCTAATGTGTACTTCAAGGGCTGGCCGGAACGACAGGGAAAGAGAAAGAATGCGACTCTATCTGCTACTGGTGTTTGCATTTATGGGTTGTCATGTGGTTCTTCTGGCTTTGTGGTTGCAAAAATATTGAGTGTTTGAACAGAAATTAAGGTCTTCGAGTAACTTTGAATATGTTTATGTTTTTCCATATAAAGTTAAAACCGTTGGCTCACGATAATAGTGATTCATAAGTAGTAACTTTTATGTGATTTTACACATGAGTTGGTTGAAGAGCATTATGGTTACAATTAAGACAATTGTTTGCTCGAAAAAGGAGAGAACACAGGCGTGTTTGTTTTTTCATACATTTGATTACAGCGCGAATGACTTGACCGACAGCGTCGGGAGCTAAATACGACCGACATGCTTTACAACCATTTCTTTAGAGGGCGCATTGAAAGAGACCGTCGCAAAAAACCGTCATAGTATGGCCGCTTTTAGACTTCTTCCTGCTCCCAGTTTTGCCTTCTGCTCAGGTGAATGCTGAACGTCACCAATCATACTAAATCATACGCATTATTACTCGTTCTTCGTCATTGTTATTTATCGTAGCAGATAAATCAGTGCGAGTTATTTCGATGACGATGACAACGAGTTCCAAGCAGGGTTCCAAGCGTTCGAAATGGGCCTTGGACTTTGCTCACAAGTATGTAACCTGTCAATATAAATTTGACAAATAGAGTAGAAGGACGCGAATAATGAGACAAAACATTTTACGCATTTACTTCGCATCTGTTGCTTATATTTGCGTATTACACTGATTAGAATCATATCAAGTAGACAAGACAAAATGTCCATGCTGCTCTAGTTGCTCCTTTTACATTTTACTTCTCCATTCTCTCTCTTCTATCTCCCTCTCCCTTTTCTCTATCTTCTTCTCTCATGTTTGGTTAATAATTATCAAAAACTTTTTTTCTCTGCATTTTTCGCAGAACAAAACAAGACAAAAGCGTGGAGATACCGTCCCCACCAGGATACACACCCACTGGTTCCCTCTTTCACAATGTTGAATATATGAGAGAATCTGACTCCAATCATTTAATAATCAAGAAGTCCTGGGATCTGGCATTGGGTCCCCTTAAACAAGTACCCATGAATCTATTTATTATGTATATGGCTGGCAATTCCATCTCAATCTTTCCTATCATGATGGTCTGTATGCTTATCATCAGGCCAGTCAAAGCACTGTTCACGCTACAGCAGAGTAAGTATTTGAAGTTTTGGAGTATGAACGACTCAGTGCTACTTATAATTGTGTACCTTTTGCTCCCTAGCATTCAAAGTGATCGAAGGAACACACGCGTTCGGACAGAAATTTGTATATTTCTTAGGACAGTTGGTTAATATCGCGTTAGCATTATACAAGTGTCAGTCCATGGGTCTGTTACCAACACATGCATCCGATTGGCTGGCGTTCGTGGAGCCGCAGGCACGAGTGGAGTACTCCGGTGGTGGTTTCATATATATTTGATGTGCATAGTCGCTCGGTAGCAGACTTAATAAGAACATCACAATAAGTGCATATGTACGCTCGACAAGAGTGCAATCGTGAGTCATTTAGCTAAGTTATAAATTGTGCGGGAATAAGGACATGCGTATCACCTAAATATTCTTTATTAAAATAAACATATAGAAAAATAAATGTATCTTTTTGTACATGATATATAACCACATATGTATATTACATGTACATACACTTACATATGGTGTATGCATACACCGTACATACACTTATATACACAAGTATTTCTTGGGGGGCTAAATGTCACGTACACTGTATCAATAATGACATGTTTATTCCTTTTCTGTTTCTCCCTCTTGTTCTGTCTTTAGTATTGCATTAGTATAAGCAATATTGTGGGACAAAAGATCATGGCTTCTTTTTGTGTTCATCTAGAAACTCTTGTATTCGTTGGTACAATTTGGATGGCTCATCTACACGTGGCACCTACAAAAGAAATATAGTCCTGCAGAAAGCGACAATATGTTGCGTACACATGCGTACATGTAGCCTTATACAATTTCCAAATTTGAATCATTTAAGGATGCAAGTATTGTATTACAGCAAGTTGCATATTACAGCTATTTATACAAAGAACTGCTAGCTAGTATAACTACATCTTAGATTAATACGTTAAAAGAGAAGTTTGTTTGAATAAAACAAATAAATTAGGGATATCGTATATCGTATTTTATTATTTGTGCAGCATACCTCGTAATTTTGCGCCAGATATATTCCAGCATATACCCCAATACCTAAACTAATCTGAAATATTAGAATGTTAACAAAATATGAAATTGTGTATACATATATATATATATGTACATATATATAAATACTTACTAGGAATTTTAACATGTTAAATTTCTAGAATAGGTCTTTTTAACTTCAAAGAAAATCTTGGTTGTGTGGGAACTCTTTTGTCCGACAACGTACTTCGACGTGCTCTTTGCAGCTTCTGATTGATTCTAGGTTAGTTCTAGTTAGGTTTAAGTTTAGGTTAGAGCAGTGTTGCGATTCGGTGACGTTTCACGCGCATGTGCCACGAAATTGGATGGAATCCAGTAATGTACATATATGAGTGGCAGTTTTTGGAGGGATGCAACTGGGCGATGGATAGGAGATGGGACAATAGGTTAATATGCCGATGTCTGGTCTATACATGCTAGATAATTATGATGTCATATATATAATAATATTATATATTAAAAATGTTAGGTTTTTAGAGTCTATATGTATTAGGAGCGCAAAAAAGTTCTGAACCTTTTTTTTGCAAAATTCAAAATTTATTTAAAAACAAACAAAACTATATTAATCAACGAAATATTCCCCGTTTGCATCGATGACCTTTTGCCATCTTTCGGGCAGCTTGCGAATTCCCTGATGGTAGAAGCTCACCGACTTCGAGGCGATAAAGTCATCAATGCATTTTCGTATCTCTTCAAGTGTCACAAAATGTCTATCAGCCAAGAAATGCTGCAGAGACCGGAACAGGCAGTAATCGGAAGGTGCCATGTCTGGGCTATACGCCGCGTGCGGGAGAAGTTCCCAGCCTAACGCAAAGATATGGTCCTGAGTCACTTTCGCAACATGTGGTCGGGCATTGTCATGAAGCAGTATCACTTTACGACGTCCTTTGTCAGTAAATGGCCTCTTTTCTTCAAACGCATCGCTCAAATTGCTCAATTGTTGCTGATAGCGATCTGCCGTTACTGTTTCACCCGGCTGTAACAACTCGTAATACAATACACCTTTCCAATCCCACCATATGCAAAGCAAAACCTTCTTGGCGTGGATATTGATCTTTGGCGTCGATGTCGAAGGTTGACCAGGGTCAACCCATGATTTTTTACGCTTCGGATTATCATAAAGTATCCACTTTTCATCACCTGTAATGATTTGGTGCAGAAAATCCTTTTTCCGGAACCTTGAAAGCAAAGTGAGTGCCGTGTCACGCCGTCGATTTTTGTTGTCTTCGGACAGTGCATGCGGAACCCATCTGCCTTCCTTTTGAACTTTTTCCATTGCATGTAAACGTGTGGAAATGGCTTGTCGCGTAACGCCAAGTTGCTCTGCAAGCTCCTTTTCAGTTTGTGCAGAGTTTATATCCAACAATGCTTGCAGTTCGTCCGTTTCAATCTTTTGAGGGCGTCCAGCACGCGGTTCATCTTCAAGACTGAAATCTCCTTGGCGAAATTTTTGATACCACCTTTTACACGTAGCATAACTTACAGCGTTCTCTCCATATGCAACACAGATCATTTCAGTGGCTTCAGCAACATTTTTCTTCAGATGAAACGCGAAGTGGATGGAAAATGGAATATGCTCTTTTGTTATTGCCATCGTGAACACTGCTGATTTTAAGGTTATGTGCATCAAACGCCAAATCGCACGATGTTTCGAAAGACCAAATGTCACTGCTTTAAAACCGCAAGAGGGCGGGAAAATTAATGCAATTTGAATTGTGGTTTCAGTAGTATGAAATCTAGGGCTCAAAACTTTTTTCTCGCTCGTCTGTATATACTCTCCTCCTAATATATACTCTAAAAAATATTTTTCAGTAATGTTATGAAGCACAACGATACCCCCATATTGCTTGTTTAGATACTTCTTTGATGTCGAGTACGTCGTGCATGCGCGTGAAACTTTAATATCGCACCACTTTCATCAGGGATGAAAGATATCACCACGATTATAGGCCTGTCCGTTTTGTCTGCACTGCTGAACTGGTGCAACAAGTTGAAGTGAGAAAACCTATGTTTGTCACACTTTAACTTAATGCACCAGTTCAGCAGTGCAGACAAAACGAACAGGCCTTACTTTTATCTTATAAAATCGATTATCGTATATTTTCACCCTGATTATTCCCTAGATAATAATTAACGATTTAGTTTAAAATTTGTTTGAGATTATCAACGTTAAAAACCATGTTTAATTGAAATGTTTTTCCTAGCATCTATAGCTAGCTATACTATAAAGGAGTATTGTGTCGCATTAAGAAAATAATTTGTATGCTCATTCTTTTCTTGAATACGCGCAAATTCATATTAACGTTACTAATTATCGTTACTTAACGTAACTTAAATATATTAAACAGTATTAATTAAGGAAAGATTATAAGGGTAAAAATACAAAGTGGTAAGCATTGAGGAAATCAATATTGTCTGTGTATTATCTAAAGATATGTAAATCTGTTAGAAAGCAGTATATAACACTTTATCTGCATTTTGAAACTAGAGGAAAACGAAGTAAGATGGAAAATTGTAAAAAAATATATACAATCTTCAAACCGTCCGATACAAAATATTTACAAAATTAGTGGTATGATTGAAAATGTTACAATTTTTGTCTAAGAAAATGTCTACATTCAAATAACAGCATTGAATTTTATTACGTACAATTTGCCCTCAAAATAATTCTTAAACATTATATTATGTAATAACGTAATAAATTGCTTTACGAAAAGATAGAAGAATCTTTACGGTTTATTCTAAGTGATTTATAAGATTTTCATAAATGTAGTATGAAATGTACGTATATATACGTGTATATATTGTGTGTCTGTGTACATGTATGTGCGCAATAATACAAGTGTAATTGTAAGTGTATAAAATCTGTGTAAGAAAAATGAAAGTTTTTATCTTATAGCACATTTTGTTACAGATATTGAAAGATTCACCAGCACTTAAGTATCTACAGAAGTAAGACTTGTATCCTCTTAATACTCTCAGAGTGACTACCAATAATTTGACACAAAATAAAAAAACTTCTAAAGGAATATCAGACCAATTTGATTATATATTATAAACATCAGAGTGATAAAGTCATGTATCAAGATTCAAAGTTATCTAACAGCCAAGAATAAACGGATATTCACCTCGTCAGGTGATCAGTGGAAATTGGGACATAAATTCGCAAGTGTTGCAATGTGCGTGCTTGCGTGTGTATGTGTACATGTGTAAATCTAATATCGGTCCTCGTCATCTTCGTCCATAGCGAAATCACTACTAACTCCGGAATCCAGTACATAGAGAGGGCTACAAAAATAAGAAGGGTTAAATACACAGCCGTCTGTAGGTATACACATGAAGTTACACCATAGAGCTTTCCATACAAAATACATTATGCGCTCTAGAATGCTATAATTTCACGTGTTGAGGCTATCGTGTCGGTCGGCCGGTGCATGTCGAAGATACAACGAACCAAACTGTCGTATTTCTTCCAGAAGAAAGGCCAACTCACTTTATTGCCCTGCACGTGAAAAAAACGATGCGTTTCAACTTTTTGTTGTAGAAGAAGTAATTGAAGGACCACAGGCAGCCATCTTCCCCAAACGGATCTGATGCAAAGTCCGGATTGTAACTATAAAATTTTATTTACATATTGTACAATGTATATAAATTCAGATTTATATTACATATGATACAACATTGCGCATGATCTCTTATCTTCTTTTCTTCGTATGCAATAAATGCTTACCTGTAAATATCACACTCGTGTAATGATATCTCATCATCCACAGCCGCCCACAGAGCGGAACGCAGTGTACGATAGTGATCACCCGCGGTGGCACTGAGATTGTCGTCCACCGCGTTTGTCACCCATTGTAAACTTGGTTCCTTACTGAATTCATGGCTCTTGGCATCAGAGAAATCATAGTCTGGATGAAAGGCTGAATTTAATGTGGCAATCAAATAAAATAATGTCTTCCTGCTGATGGTATCGCACAATGGACCATCTTCGTCGCCAGAGACACTGCGACTATATACATAACAAATGCACTGTAGAGATGTAGATATACACAACAAATATTTTATTTACACGAGTAAATGAGTAAAGTAAAAGTGAAAATCTCAGCAGTGTCAGGTGATACCTCAAGTATCCTTGAGCCGGTGATGTTCCTAGGGATGTCTGTGGCGGTGATAAAGCTTGCAAGTCATGCGGTGTCACTCCCTGTTCCGCATTGAATCGCTTGTACATCTGTTTGTCGTTACCTGCCATTTTGCAAGAATAACTCTCAATCCTGCAAATATAAACAGTGTTAATCTAAATGCAAAGTGATACCTTTTGATCTCAGATAATCTTTGTTGATCTCAGATCTTTGTTGATTTCTATATGATTCAGATAAACAACGATTCAGCTCGTCTCACCTCCCAATTATCTTGCTGTCTCCGGTTTTGATAGACAAGGCACTGTTGATAGCTTCAAAACGGGTACTCTCCAGCAGCTTCATCGTGATAACAAAGTTGCGTCGATCGTCCTGATTAGAAAAAACTTGATTAGCGGCTTTAAATCTGCTGCTGTCGCTCGTCAATGTCGCACCCTCTAGACGGGCTCAACCGTCGTTCACGTTGACGACGTAGACATTTCAGCGGCCTCAGAGCCTTGTTATTAACTCAAGCCGTTCAAGGCAAATCTTGACCTGGTTTCTCAGTCGCACGGTCAAGTACGTTCAGTACAAGCGAAATGTTAGATAGCTTCTTCGACTTCGAAGACTTATCAGATTGTTGGGCATCTCTTTTATGCGTATGAAAATTCCTTTCCTTTTCGAGTGCACGAGATTGATCGTCGACGTAATGGTCTTCCCGGCGTCGCTGTACTTGCACATCACAAATTGCTAATTAAGGATTTGGGGGAGAGCGAGTTTCGAGTCCAGTCAAACAGGTCAGCGATGAGACACAACGATCACGTTTGCACTCTCTGCAACCGAAGATACACGAGCGAACGAGCGTTTCGCCTCGCTGTACGGTCGACCGTAATGGAGTGAGACAAACAAGCTATATGCTCCAACACAAGGTTGGTGGGAGGTAGGGTGGGACGGATAAAGGAAGATAGATAGATAGATAGATAGATAGATAGAAAGAGAGAAAGAGAGAGAGAAAGAGAGAGAGAGAGACACAGACGGACGGACAAAGAGGTAAAGAGAAACAGATATAGGTAGACAGAGAGAGCGAGAAAACGAGCGAGAAGAGAAAAGGCAAAGGGCAAGGCGCTCGCTTGTTGCCTCTTTCTGACGAATTTTCCTACCACTGTCTTCGGCAAAAGCCGCGCGCGTCGTACGAAAAACAGGCGCGAGCTATGCGGTAAAACGATATTACGGCGATGCTTCCACCGATCGACAAGGATCGTAGACGTCAACTCTCTCTCTCTCTCTCCTTCGCAGGAGAAAAATACTTGCGCGCGGAAAGAAAGACAGGAGGAACCTCTTCAACGCGTAGCGCCCGCTATTGACGATAACAATCCATAATCACGGACATTGTGTTCCGCTGCGACGTAATATCACACTGTCGAAATCAATTATTTGCCGCCGCGGTTAACCGGAGCTTAACGCGCCGCACACCGAATCCTTCGTCGTCGATCGCTATATATCCCTCTCTCTCGTCTGTATAACTTCGACTTTATTCGCGCGCGAGCTCGACCAGTTTATCAACTAATTGCGACTCGATGTCAGTTACGTTCACCGCGTACGTCCTACGTCGTATGTACGCAACGGTCATGTATATACAATGCACACACGTATACACATACGATGGCGCGAGTATATACGCATTTGTATAGCGTGTGTGATACGGGGCTACACATGCGCACAAGAGCGTCACTATGTGACAGAAATAGGAACGCGATGTCATGAGACTTCTATCGTGCCCTCTTGCTCGCTCGCACGTCTCCGTCTCCCTTCGTCTCATTCGCTCATCACTTGGTAGAGGGAGGACGCGACGCGCGTGTAGCCAATCGCGTTACGTCAGCGACGCCGCGTTCTATGTATGAGTGACGCGCTGCATAAGCGCATGCGCACTTGTAAAAGCGGGAGCCTTCTTCACCCGGAGAGGAAAGAGAGAGAGATAGAGAGAGAGAGAGAGAGAAAGAGAAAGAGAGAAAACGCGCTCGTTCTTCCTTCGACGACGTCCATTCGCGCATTTTTGCATTCAAAGGCAGGTTGGTATGCTCCGATTTCAAAGACAGCTTTCTTGTTTCTTGTTCTTACTTGACATATAAAATTGCTAAGCAGAGAGCACACAATCAAAAGGTGTCACAATAAAGCGCGCTCCAGTTAGGATGTAGAATTTAGATATTTAACGTAGAGATGGCGCGCTCATCTACAATCGTTTCGTTCCAAACGGCATTCGGTGCAGTTTAGTGTGTATCTGTGTATGCATATATGATTTATTGTGGCGTGTGTATGTTTGACAGAATCTTAACCTCCTGCTTATAGTGCGGAATTGACGCAGAATGTTAACAGGAATGGTCGGAATTCATTATTGAGAAATGTCCAAGCGTTGGAACAGCGACTATGTGGTCACGGCGGAGCACCGCGATTTACAGGTGAGTCGAGAGAAAAAGAGGGAAGGAAAGAGAGAGAGAAAGAGAGAGAGAAAGAGCGAGCGAGCGAGCGAGCGAGCTATTTTCCCGCGTAGGAAACAATAAGTCGTTCGCATTAGCGAGGAAAAAGAGAAAATGCAAATGTTTATGTTTATCATTTTATCGTCATGATCAGGCTAGCACCATGGCTGTGGATGCGACCGGCAACTTTGTTTTATTAGCCGGGTAAGTAACTTGATTTATCGCGAAAAACATCCGTAACGTTCCCAATTACCATACACGAAAGTTAGTTTGACTAAGTTGATTTAACCGTAGTTACAGCCGTGGTTACATTGAAAGTAATTTAAATTGTCAATATCGTCTGTAGACGCAGGTACTTTGCAGTGAAACGTTTGGACGAGGATATGAATACATTGAAGAAGTTCCAACGGCAAAGCAAATATGAAGTTGGCTCTGCAGAGTGGAATCCATGTGATTTGAATAGTCACTTGTGTGCAATATCTGTAAGAATTTGTGTATAATCATTTATTATTGGGAAAATAGTACATGTGAAAGATTGATATTTCTGCTGTTATTTTATTCTGAAATGATATTTTTTTGTCACAGAGTAATTCAAGAGTTGAGATATTAAGTTTCACCGGGGCAGGAGGATATGAATTGCAAACCACACAGAGTTTAAAGGCACATACACGTGTGATTAGTGATTTAAATTGGCATCCCAAAGAGCCAGACATTATAGCCTCTTGTAGTATCGACACATTTATACATATCTGGGACATAAGAGATCAGAGAAAGCCGTGTCTGTCTTTGTCTGCAGTTGGTAAGATAAATATTGACTTAATATGGACAGCAGGTTTCTTTGACTGGAAACAAGTAATTCTGCATTCTTTCCTTTCCAGCGGGATCATCTCAAGTACGGTGGAATGCACTATCACCCAATACGCTGGCTACAGCGCATGATGGTGACGTGAAGATATGGGACCAGAGAAAAGGAAATAGTCCAGTGCAATATATCACAGCTCACTTAACAAAGGTATACAACTTCTTTCGTTTTCTATTATTAGTTTCACATAGCCTTTTTTTAAATATTTCTCTGGTATATTTTTAGATACATGGTTTAGACTGGTGTCCCTTTCAACACAATCAATTGGCGACGTCAAGTCAAGATTGCACCGTCAAGGTTTTTGATATCGCCAATCCTCGTAGAGCCGAGAGTATCCTGACAACAAATTCTCCAGTGTGGAGAGCGAGATATACGGTAAAGAAAAAAAAGAACGTAAATTTAGAAGCCACATATCGTGTGTGCGTGTATTATATTATCTCAAAATTATGTTTTTGTAGCCTTTCGGAGAAGCTTTAGTGACTATAGTAGTGCCGCAGTTACGACGAGGAGAGAACAGTTTGTTACTGTGGAACATGTCGAATCTCAACGCTCCGATATACACGTTTGCGGGGCACACGGATGTCGTGCTCGAATTTCAATGGCGACATCCCAGACTGGGTAATGTCATCAAATTATATCGTGTGAAAACATTATATCGAAATATCTCATTGTCTCAATCTTATCCGTCTGCTCGCAGAAAATAATGACTTTGAACTTATCACATGGTCCAAGGATCAATGTCTGAGGATATTCAAGATTGATCCCTTCTTGAAAAAGGTAAACATACATTTTATTTTTCCATTTTCTATACAGTTCCGCATATCAGACACAGTTATTTGTCAATTGTCAACCGATAAATATGTCTCTTTGTTATCAGCTATGCGGCAGCGGTATAGACGATGGCATATCAGTTTATTCTCAGTACTCTGAAGAGAATAATTTAAGTACGTGGAATCTCATCTTAAAATATAACGAAGACAAAAGGAAATGCACTGCGATGAAACTCCAAAACGTGTGTTCTAACGAGTACCCTCGCTTGTACAGGGACTTTGCAATCCACTCAAGAATTGCAGCTGAACGGTTCGCAGAGTGCGCCCGAGATCAACTACATAACGAAGGTGGACGAGCCCGTGCCGCACTCGGAAACGATCAACCTTCCGGACAGTTCCAAGGAAGTCTCGTCGCCCACTCAGCCAAAGAGTTTGCAGCAGGAGTTCTCCCTGATAAATATGAATATACCAAATATAGAGGTAATTTTTCCTAACGCTGCGCTTCCGACAAGTCACAAAAAAGCGATCCGATCGCATTCTGCGATGCAGGTGAACGCGATGGATGCGACAGAGAGGAGCTGTACGATCACCGCATGTACAAAGAACTACAATGTGATACTAAAGGTGAACTTTCCGGTGAATTATCCGTACAGCGCGCAACCGACTTTCCAGTTCTGCCCTGGAACGTCCATCGACAATACGACCATGACGAAACTGCTGAAGGTCCTCACGCAGACCGCTCAACAGCGCGTCAGGAAGAATCGGTCATGTTTAGAGCCGTGTCTCAGGCAACTGATAAACACTTTGGAGCAAGTGAGTGCGTTTCCTCGGCGTGTGCATAATTGCTCGAGTCCGACCTGTTTTTCCTAACTTTTAACGACGGTTTAACGACGTTGTGGTTGCGCAGATATAACACTCGGTAGAAGAATACTGCGCAATGAAAACGTTGTGATCACGACAATACTGTCGTGAAAAGTTACAGAACAGAACCTATGGAGATCTTAATTCTTCTCATCTGTCCGTCGCAGACATGTAAAAACGACGAGGACGAGAACGGTCGGCTGACGTATCACATACAAGACAACGCAAACTTCCTTAGCTCGACCAATATCTGCGCGAATTATCAGGACTCCTACATACCGTTCCCCAGGACGTCTGGCGCCAAGTTTTGTTGCGTAGGTACGTACATGTTCGCGACGCGTTGGTACTCGATAGTACCAACAAGAGAAGGTAATAGACATGATGCACACGCAGACGACTCGGTTGCGCTTCGCAATTCAATAAACACGCCTCAATTTTGCAAGTATTTTCATGGAACAAAGCCGACGGTGGATGTTCTTCACCGCTCAGCAATGAGCCAAAGTCGTTCGTGTGTATCATGGTACGTCTAATTTATTGTCAAGTATTCCCCCCCGTTAATCGTTTGCCTGTCGTTTCGTTGCTAATCGGACAGGTATACTCGTTTGCTTCGGCCGTCCTTCGTACGCAAAGAGATCGTCCAACATTATGAAAGCGGGAGGCACGACGCCCAGAGCGTTGTCCGCTCTGGGGAGCGGCAACGGCGAGCCTTTCATGCACATGTACCGAAACTCTTATGTGCCGACCAACGACAACATGTCCATCAGCTCGTACTACTACCAAGACCGTGTAAGTATGAATTGGTGCGTGCAAAAGCGCGATGTGATGAGACGCGCGTTATTATTTTACTAATATTCTATATCGTACGGTGTCGAGAGCTAGCCGCAATACCGTAGTAGTTCAGGAAAAAGGAAGAAACGAGTGATGAGTGCCGATATAATGTGTGTTAATAATGATATAATTGCGATGTAGCAGAAAGGCATGCGACGAGGATTGCACGGTGCGAGCAGAATGCACGAGAGGTCCGATTACAAGAATTACCACCCGATGGTCACGATATACGACGCCTCGTCGTTGTTCTTCGTGAACAAGGAACTTGCTGAAAAATACATGTAAGCATGCACAGTTTGAAGAATCCAAGAGAGAGAGAGAGAGAGAGAGGAATATTTTTTGTCCTATATGTATATATCCATGTTTTACCCTAGAATCAATATCACGGACATCCCGGCCATGTGTCAATATAATGCGAACATAGCCGCTTCGTTGGAACGGTCCGATTTGGTACAAGCTTGGTGTCTCGCCGCTCTAGTCATTTCGCAGCCGATTTCGAATATCGGACAGAATTCGTGCCAAGTTCCCAATATCGACGCTCCTTGGCCTCTGCACCCGTTCGGCCAGAACGTCATTCATTCATTGTGAGTGAGTCAATTAAATCTGTCGAAATTATTCCCGACTATTTAAAACTTCAAGATCTTCACTTCTGATCTAAACTTCTCATCTACACGCTCCCGTTTCATACAGATTGCTCTGCATAATCTCGCACTGATTGCTTTAATTAATATATTAACGTATAAAATTATACAGGAAGAAAACGAGCGATAAATGTGTGTGAACATTAATACGTAATTCTGCATTTGTTTAGAATACAGCATTATGCGAATCAATCGGACATCCAGATGGCCGGCATGTTGAGCTGCGCCTTCAGCTACAGATCTGAGAACACAGACGCCGCACAAACCCGGCTGATCAGCAAATCCGTGAACGTCAGTGTAAGTATACAACATGTACGAGAAAGCAAGAATAAAGAGCAAGGATCGAGCGTCACTTGAAAAACTCTCAGCACGACTGAGAGTACTTTAGTAGGCAGCACTGCTCGCTAAAATCGACGGGAAGACTGTGAACGATGTACGATTGCACGGTCTCGCACTCTAGTTTTCCGTCTTGCATATAAATTCTGCATCATGAACGTCTCCGATGAAGACGGAATCTTTGGTCTTTCATGCACAGCGTGTGTCTCTTTCTTCCGATGCACGAGAGAACAAGCAATAACGCTTCGCGTAATGTGTGTATATGTGTGTGTGTGTGAGTGATTTGTGCACAATACGACGGTATGGTGTATGCGTATATTTACTCGCGAACGGTGTCAACGATGGACACGTGTCGTACGTTGGCCGAAACTGTCGGCGGACTTTTCACAGGAGATTCTTAAGAACCACATGTAAAACGACTGGACATTTTCACGGGATATCTCACATGCGTTACATATCTCATAATACACAATTCACTATACTGTACCGGCGTATCAATTATGTCATGTGATTGTACATACACACAACCAACGATCATATCGATTGACATCTGATACTATATATTACGTCTGTTATAGAGGCTTTCCACAGGAAAATGGTGGTTGAAGGTAAGATCTCCGAGTTCTGTTGAAACGTGACAAGTGCACGTGTTTTAGGTATATTGGTTCTTAGGATTCTCCGTTATCGTTCGTTATTTTGCATTCGCCTCTCAGCATCGGACTGGAAGCGTCACTATGCTACTAAGAGTGCGGATTTAACTGTGCCTGGTCAAAATGCCGATACATCTCGCATGTCGCATGGAAAATGTGACGCAGCTCCAGAGATCGAGTCGACATCACGAGAGAATGTCGACTGCTTCCTTGCTGCCCTGAGCAATTATACGATGTTTGAGTTGCGTCACTTCTTCAAGTGACGTGCGATGTATCTTGTGCTCGTCATGTATGTGCGTGTGTGTATGTGTGTATAATATGCGAACAAAAAGAAAGAGTAACAATGTGATGTTGTTCATAGCGAGTAAGTAATTTTAAGTAACATCGTTTATAATGAGTTGCACCGTTGCTGGAGTACGATGTGTGTGTGCTGTTTTACGTGAATTGTTCGCACACGAAGCAAATAATTGTCGTTTGCGTCAAGCCGCCTGATTAGATATAGATATTACCCTGTGGTAACTTGTGACCTTAGTTTTAACGAGTTTAATCTGATATTTTTGTGAACAAAATTCAAGTCGATTCCTCCTCAGCAAACAATTGAACGATGGATAACGACGCTTTCCTCATTTTCGCCAATAGCGGAAATTGGCACTAAATGGCACGAGCAAGCTATCGTTAAAGCTACAGCCACGAGTCGCAGCAATCACTTCTCTGATAGATCAGAGCGAATTCAATCCGACGTGACATTTTTAGCCTGGCGGTTCGCCCTACCACACTATACACCTGGTGAATTCCACGTTGGAGGGATGGAATTTTCAGAACCTGAAGCAGCACCGCTCCAACTCGTGGTCGGAGTCGCTGGACGATTTGAAAGTTATCCAGGACACGTTCGGAGATTCGGCCAAGAACATCAAGTACGTTATAGGACAGGCGACAAGAACCTCGCCTTTAACCTTGACAGTAACACGTCCATGTCGGACGTATCTCATCAAACGTTTGTTATGAGATTCAATCATTTATAAATTTTAATCACTGTTCTTTTATGTTTTACTTTGTGCATGTAATTTTCGTGCATAATTGAGTTGAGTGAAAGAAACTATACCACACCTGAGAGACGCTTGATGTTACTGTTAAGGTTAAAGTGAAACTGATTGAACTGTTAAGGTCTCGGAGCGAGTTGCTTTGTTAAGCTGCCAGCCTCGAAGTAGAGACCCAAATGTACTGTGTGTAGGTTGCTCGATGAGAAGTATACGGCGCTGTACGACGGCTACAAGAAGGCGTACGCTGAGGTATTGCACAGGTGGCGGCTGTTGGACGCCCGGGCGCAGGTATTGAAGCACCTCAGCGCACCGCCCTTTGACACGCACAAGGGCGTCGAGCTGCAATGCCAGTGTCAGATCTGCGACAAGATCAGTCGTGGTCCGCAATGCGCGAACTGCAAGCGACTGAGCTTCCAATGCGTCATATGTCACATCGCGGTCAGAGGTATGATGGTCTTTCGTGGCTTTTCGACGAATCATCTAACATGGATATTTCGACTTTGACACGAGACTGATTCTCTTTTGGCAACCTAGGTTTGAGCAACTTCTGCATGCTCTGCGGCCACGGTGGACACACGCAGCATCTAGCCGCGTGGTTCAGCAGCGAGGCACTGTGTCCCACGGGTTGCGGCTGCTATTGTCTGCAGGGGAGCTCGGTATTATTTAAGATGTAATTAGTGTAGATGAAATTATTGTACATAGTTGTGATACACATGCGATCGCGTTGTGTTGCCTGTGAGAGAGAGAGAAGAGTCAATTTCCGCAAGAATAAATCTCTTCTTCATATCGCCGATGGCTGCCTGTCGTACTGCGTCAAAAACAATCGACAAATAACACCAATTAATCTTAAGTTGCCGAGATCAGAGTTCAACGACGATCGCAAACAATCCAGGGTCATCGGTCCGCAATGTCGCAACTGCTGAAGTGATACTCTCTTCGAGGAAGTTATTTGTACTAGAACTATAAATTGTACTTGAAGCTTCAAGACGTTATAGTCGAATAACGAGATCTCGAAATGTGAATATTCGAACGATATTAATCACGCAAAATCTCGTTGCACCCTGAAAAATTAATTCTGTCAAGAGATTTGAAAGTTCGAATCTTCGAAGTCAAATGACTCGAAGCTTCAAATTATATTTTCTTTAATTTGTGCTTTAGCTTCCCTTTCCATGGTTACGATGCTTCTCACGAGTGTCATGGAGTCGCAAGTGTCCAATGTATTGCCATGCAGAGGGGGAAATTTTGCGATACACGCAGTTCTCACGGGATATAGGTGTAGTAAAAACAATTTATTTTCTTACACAGCGATTCGTCGTAAATCTTCGTACACGCGTACGAACTCTGGTGGCTAGTATCTGTAGTGGTCAGGTTTGTAAGGTCCTTCCACAGGCACGTCCAGGTACTTGGCCTGTTCCGGTGTCAAAGTCGTAAGTTTCACGCCCAGGTGATTTAAGTGCAACGCCGCTACCTCCTCGTCCAACTTCTTAGGCAACATATGCACACCGACGGAGTATTGATCCGACTTGGTCCACAATTCGATCTGCGCGAGCACCTGATTCGTGAACGAGTTGCTCATAACAAAGCTCGAATGGCCCATCGCGCAGCCCAGGTTTACCAGACGGCCTTCCGCGAGGAGAATGATGTGCCTGAAACATGTGTGAAATGTGATGTACAACACTGAATTTTATAATAATTTTTATTGCTCTGGAAACTCGTCGAAATCCTTCGAATGATCGCGTGAGTCTCAAATAAGTCGAGTTTTCCTCGAGCAAACGGACACACATAATACTAATGCAAACATAATTTGAATTCCAAAACGACTTGAACACTTCTCCTAGACGTAGTTCGGAACGCAGCAGATGTCGAATGAGAGAAGTTATTTTTGCAAGGTTCTCAAGAGTTCCCTCATTGGATACTTGCTGCGTTCTGAACTGCATCCGCAGAAAGCATCAGAATCACTTTGAGCGTACACACCTGCCGTTTTCCAGCCGGAATCGATCCACCTGCGGCTTCACGTTCATCTTCTCCACGGCGTTCTTCTGTAACCAAGTGACGTCGATCTCGCAGTCGAAATGGCCGATGTTGCAAACGATAGCGTCGTTCGGCATATTGACGAAATGCCGACTTCCGATGATGTCCTTGCAACCCGTGGTGGTCACGTATATCTGGCCCTTGGTGCACGCTTCGTCCATCGTCGTTACCTGAGAGAGAATCGAGACGGTCATTAAAATCGCAATATATGCATCTCGCGCAATATCTTCTAGGATGTTTCACCTCGTATCCTTCCATAGCCGCTTGCAGAGCATTAATAGGATCGATCTCCGTGATGATGACGCGACCGCCGAGGGCTCGAAGACTTTGTGCGCATCCTTTACCAACGTCGCCGTAGCCAGCCACCACGCATACCTTCCCGGCTATCATGACGTCGGTCGCCCTCTTAATGCCGTCGATTAGTGACTCCCTGCAGCCATACAAATTGTCGAACTTGCTCTGCGGGGAACAAGCGCTGGTTCAGTTAGCGATTGTGAATTCATCGCTATTTTCTTACTAGTAACTACTAGGAATTATTATTGAATTTATTATTAATTTGTTACTAACTTTTATGTATGTATTAATTTGTTCTATTCATTTGTTATTAACTTTTATGTGTGACATGCGTATATGTCTATGTACAATAATAGCAAAGAATTCTCATTAATGAGGATTGCAAAATATATAACTAATTTGCCACAGAACTTTAAGCTTTTTAGGCAGTTCCGAGAATTGCTATCACCCGAATTCGAGCAAGCTCGTACGAACCTTCGTGACAGAGTCGTTGACGTTAATCGCTGGCACCTTGAGCATGCCTTCCTTCATCATGCGGTAAAGATTATGCACACCAGTGGTGGTTTCCTCGGATAAGCCTCGACATTCAGTGAGGTACTGCGGATACTTGACGTGCACGAGGTTGGTCAGGTCGCCGCCGTCGTCGAGAATTAAGTTAAACGGCTTGCCGTCTGAGAAGACTAAGGTTTGCTCGATGCACCAGGTGTACTCCTCGTCCGTCTCACCTTTCCATGCGTATACCGGGACTCCGGCCTTCGCCATAGCTGCGGCTGCGTGATCCTGTGTGCTGAATATATTGCAAGACGACCATTGTACCTTTAACATAATAATAGCTGCGATGCAATTTTATCTAGAAAACTTGACATTTTTATTTGTATCTATAATACATGAGCAATATAATTTATTCTCACGGGAGAATATAAAACCTATTATTATGTGTACATATATATTATTATATATATATTATATTTTATAATAATCATGATTAATTGATAGCTCGAGAAAAATTAGTTTCCAAAGATTTTAGGATTAGAAATTAATTTTAGAAATAATTTAAAGGAGTATAAAATTGGAAGTACATCATTTATGTTGCAATTAGAATTTCACAAAAGCTATACTGAAAGAAATATTTTCTTTCAGAGCAAAACTGAATAAATTGTAGCTTTTACAAAGTGACACGAGATGACTTAAGATAACTCAAGATAAGACTACAAAAAATTAATTTATTTAGGAATATATAAACGAAAATAAAACCATTCATATTAAGATTAGAATCTTACACATGCAAAAGCTGTGGTGAAAAAAAAAATCTGCTCAAAGCAAGAGTGAATAGCTGCAGCTCTTAGTGAAATCAGGGCCGTTGGTGATAAGATATCTCTAAATGGAGAAATTTATTTCCATATGTCGACATTTTTACATGCATGACATTGCAGTCGTGGTAAATTATGTCGTCACTATTTCCCTGTTACTGATAGTAAACATCATTGCAAGTTACATATATGAATAAAAAAAGCTCAAGTAATTGATCTTTTGACAATAGATTTGCACTTTACACATTTTTCTATTTTCTGAATGTTAGATCATACGACACGGTGAAATTGTTTATTTATAATAAAGGAACAGATCATTTTGTTACGTAATAATTCATAACTGACGATAATTTAATTACGATTTACTTATGATCTATTGTAATTTGTCTACAATTCTATATCAGTCAAAACGATCGAAGTACTCACCTCGGCGCCGAGTTCCACCAGGGTTTCAATCAACACTGCTGTTTGCACAGTCATGTGAAGACAGCCTGCGATCCGCGCGCCCTTCAGCACCTTCGAGGGTCCGTACTTTTTCCTGATCGCTATGAGTCCCGGCATCTCGTTCTCCGCCAGGGTGATCTCCTTGCGACCCCATTCCGCCAAGGACAAGTCCGCTGTTCGTGGTCGACAGATTTCATTTTTATTTCAAGCAAGAGAGGAAACAGTCGGCGAATAACATGCTCCAGAAGCGTTGCACACCTAATTATACGTAAATGAAAAAAAATGCGCAAGATCGAAGAGTCGGTCGGCTTTCGTTTACGGCAATCACATTTCACTGTAGATGATTAGTAAAACGAGTAACGATTACTATCGTGGGACAAAGAGATTCTCCTCGGAGAAACGTATCAATGGAAAGCTCGTATTCTCCGCGCGAGAGATACCTATCGAAATCTCGCTCGTGCCGGTCGGCATGGCGAGCAACTTCACGTTGGTCCGAAATGAGCGAGCACATGCTTCAAACGTGCACGTATACCACGCCTCGTCACTTACCAACTTTGTACGCAGGCTTGCTGGACATGACGTTATCGGAGATGCTTCGTTCGTGCCGGCTCGTACGAAAAGAGTATCTTCACAGGCGGGCACACAGTTGATCGTGCACGCGGATAACCTACATGATCATGTGACCCGTGAAGTCAACTGGAGGTGACACGTGATCTTCGTTCGAGTCGCCCACCGATCGGTATTACAGTTACTCAAGGTTTAGGCGTTTCTTTTTATCGCAAACTTTATTATGTTAAAAAGACTTTGTACATTTCGATATATAAACACAACTTTAAAACTATGCTTTTACAGTCTTAATGTTACGTTTTTCGTTACAGGGGCGGCCACATGAGCGCCACTTCCGTGTGCATATGTTGTGGAAGCCACTTCTGGTAGGCTGACAGCAAAACTGAAATACGAATTATTCTGCATTATTAATCTGGCAAAGAAGCATACCATATACATGTATCAATCGTATGAAGACACACGTGAAATATTACAAGCCGGAATATCTCTTACATTGCTTGTCCGAAGCCCAAGCTTCTAGCAGTTTATCTTTGCTCATGATTGCGCGTGATGATAGCACTTGTGTCATCGGGTGAATGTGCTGTACCAGTCTGAGGAGCAGAATCGCAAGATATTAACATAATTTATTATACGTTTAAAATCAAAAGCTGAATGCAACAATGGTACTTACTTGGCCCACGGCTTGGTGATGCTGGCGGGTGTTGACAGCAACGACGGCACGAATTTCTTCAATTTGGGACACACTTGACCGTCCATGAAGAAATACACGAACAACCTGACACCGTCCATGTTCAGCGGATATTCTATGTCCATGGGTGGGAGTGTCCAAGCAGCTCTGCCGAATGTACCAGTTACACGACACATAATCTTTCCAGTTTCCTTGTTGTACCTACAGTTTCCACAAACGAAATTCTAGATGTTTTTATTGCGAAAAATTTATTGCGTGTAAATAGAATATAATTATTAAACAGAAATCTTTTTTCGCATGGGGAGATTATCTTTTGATATACAAGGTGTCTTAAAAATACTGGAACCCCCGGATAACTTTGCAGGATCAAGTTTTCATGAGAAACTTTAAATACAAAAGTTGTAGAAAATTGAGTAACGGAGACTTGATAGTGACCTTGAAGGTCATGACCAAGGTCAAATTCAAGATCACTATCAAGTCCGTTACTCGGTATCCGTTTTCTACAACTTTTGTATCTCATAAAGTTTTTCATGAAAACTTGATCCTGCAAAGTTATCCGGGAGTTCCGGTATTTTTAAGACACCTCGTATATGCTAATAATTTCAATTAATATTTACAAATATCTAAGTGGTAGTAAGAATTGTGCAACAAAGCGGAGAAACGACAAATTGACAAAGATACCTCGGTGGTGGATCAGCCAGTGGTTCGCTGAGGCGGCACTGGCCCGACGCGAACTTCGGCAACCATTCGACTTCTACCGCCGTGACACCTCGCATATATATCTTGTTTGTTTCGTATACTTCCTGATAGACCACCCATTCCGGACTAGTCTTTCGCAAAACACACGAGGAATGCATGAACACAGGCTCTTCCATCTCTGGTGTCCTAGATGCGTTCAGGAGGCAGTTGCGATAAATTTAAAGATTAAATTCTTGATTAGCATTGAAAATAATCAATAGCACGTACCTGTAAGCGTGTTTCCACTTGGACTTGTCTTGATCCTCTTTCACTTCATTGGGCATTACTTTCTTCGCGACTTGATCCGCCATACCTGTGAGCACGATCTGACGCAGCAATCTTATTTGCATGTCGGTCGGAGGTGATAACCTGTGGGAATTTTCGTTGTAGAAAAGTGTCTTCAACATAATACAATATACGTTTGCTAGATGAAAACATACTTCGGATCTATGGCCAAGTTCAAATCAGGTGTAATTAAATTAACCTCATTGGTGAGCTGTTGCCGGATTTTTCTGATCTCCACCACAGCCTTGTGTCGCAAGCCATTCTCCTCGCAGAAAGATACCAATTGTCCCTGAGATCTTGCGAACTCCGCGCTTTCAATGGCTTTCATCAGAACCATTAGATCACCTACGGAGATTGCATTTTATCTGAATGTAATCCTGACATAATATATGAAATGAAAGTATTCGTTTTCCCACAATCTCACGCCTCGATGCCTTCCGATCACATACCGAGAAGCAAACTGTGGCCAGTACCAGCCCAGGCTCGACGAAGCTGTAGCCACTTGCTGTTAACTGAACCTTCCGCAGCGTATGCCTCTATCAGAACTTCCTGAACGCTCAAAGCCGCCACCATTAATACAGTGTACTTTAATAAGTCTTGCTGATGCGACAACGACAGCATTTTGCCATAACGCGGAGCGACCGGGAATGCCGCGACGCTGCGGCCCAGCGGTGTCAGTTTTGTATAATAAGTTCCTAAAAATGACCGGTCATTAATTTTATGTATTTTTCAAACGTTGTCGTGTTAATATTTTCTAACATGATGACGGTAAATTTTAGTCTTTTAAATTTGAATGTTCAAGTTCAGCTACCTTTCTGCTTATTCAGAGCTTGCTCCAACAGTCCGAGTATCGTGAGCCTCTTCTCTGCGGATTGCAGCTGCAAGGTTTTTGGCGGCGTGGGGAATGGGAAATTCACGACCTTGATGATATTCATTGCCTTCATCTGTAGTAACAGATCGTCCACCGGCTTCCTTTGGATCTCCGACTGACTATACTCCTCGAACTGATCGTTGTACACGGCGGACGAATATAATCTAGGCAACGGAAGAAGATGCAAACATAGAATACCTTCGCATGAAACGATCAAAAGTCTCAGAATACCTGTAACAATGGCCAGGTCCAGTTCTACCAGCTCTGCCGGCACGTTGACTAGCCGCTGCCTTGCTCACATAACAAATCTGATATGTGCTCACACCTGTCACGTGATCGTACACTCTGGTCTTACAACGTCCGCTGTCCACTACATACTTGATATTGGGAATCGTCAGTGAGGTTTCCGCTACATTGGTAGACACCACGCACAAACGACACCCTTCCGGTGGCGGTTCAAACACCTATAGAGAATCATGTAGTGAAGTATTACTTGTTTTGTCAGAGTTAACTTCTATCGTGATCTAATCTGATATTTCGTTGATCTATCGTGTGCACGAAAAGATGTGGCGTCCATCGGCTTGATATTTACCTTGGCTTGCTCGTGACCAGGTAAAAGTGAATAAAGCGGCAAAACCCATAGTGGCTGTGCGTCCTTCAGTCCAACGAAATCCATAAAATCTTCATTGTCCTCATCTAAGTCGCTACCCTCGCTAATTGGATCTTCATCCGTATCAGCGGTGGGAATTACGGAGTAACTTAATTACAAAGAGCATATGTGCGCTTACATATATACGTTTTAGAGGAAAAGAGAAACAGATTGGAATGTTCGCACGTTATATATACATACTTGTCGAGATTAATGTTTGGAAGTTCAAAGCGCCGTTTCTTGCGTCTCAACCTATTACGACGTAACGCTTCCCGGGCGTTAAAATCATCGTCGGAATCGGAGTGTTTCTCGCTCTGTTCCTCGTCTGCTTCTTCTTTCGGAGCAGTTTTATTATCCAAAGTTGTCCGTTTAATTTTGTTTCTCTTTGGCAATGGAAACGCTCTGCGCAATTTACGTACTACCGTATGCACTTCTTGCTGGCCTGCATATTTTTTTAATTACTGATATAACGTATAAAATGTGTTAAAAAAATGCACGAATACATTTAATATTACCGTACCTGTTAGAAACACTAGAATGCCGCCTTCCGGCAGGCGACTATGTATTTTTATCGCTTGGCGCAACGCATCGTTGACGTAATTCTGGCTTGTCTTTCTGTTGAAGTGTATCGTTACAGGAAACTGTCGCGTTTCGATTGTGATCACGGGCGGCGGCTTTACCTTGAATAACCGCTTATTTTCTACGAATTCCTCGATGCGCAACGTGGCTGACATAATGATCAGCTTCAAAGGTATATTGCGTTTATTTCGGAGCGGAACGATCCTTGACAGTAGGCCGATCAAAATATCCGTGTGCACACTGCGCTCGTGCGCTTCATCCAGTATTATCACAGAGTACTTCTTCAAGAGAAAATCCTGCAAATGCAGAGTCGCAAAGATTTAGACTTATATCGTCGTAATGTTAAAAGACCATGTCGCATATACGTACGTTCTGAATTTCCCTCAACAAAACACCGTCAGTCATAAACTTGATTTTCGTTTCTTTCGTAGCATTCCCCTCGAAACGAATCAGATACGAGACCTCCTTCTCGGTGAGATTCATCTCTTCAGCCACACGTTTGCTCATCGACATCGCTGCCACTCTTCGCGGCTCTGTTATTCCGATCAATTTATCACGAGCATATCCGGCTTCATAGAGAAATTGAGGTACTTGTGTAGTCTTTCCTGTAACAAAAATACATGCGAGTGAACAAGGTAGGTTCGAAATTAATACAACACACTGTTACAGTTTATCTCAATAATCTCAATAACTCACCACTGCCTGTCTCTCCGGTAATTATGACTATTGGGTTCTCATTTATTGTTTCAACAATTACTTGTTCTTCTGCAACAATAGGCAATTTCATTCGGGCAGCCTGCATTTCTGGCTTTCTGTCCACTGACACAAAGACAGCAGGTGTACAGACCTGAGGGATAGAATTTTGCCGTACTTCCTTTGTTGATTTTTTCAATTCCTCAGTTTTCTTTGAAACTGCTTTACTTTCTGCATCTTTCTTGAATTTGTTCCTATCATCCTCTACAGATTCCTGGTTTTTGTTTGAAATTTTTATATTTCCAGCATCTTCTGTGAAATTATCCTCATCCTGTTTTTCACTTGTTACAATCTCAGGAGCAGGAACCTCAGGAGTATTGTCAGTAATATGTGCTTTATCTTCATTCCCATTATTGGTATCATTTTCACTGCTATCATCACTGTCGTCGGATTTCTGTAAAATAATAAATATTACTTCATTATTTTCACTAAAACTTAAAAAATATCTTTTTCCTTTCAAACTTACTTCAAACCCAAGCACATTTGGACCATATATAACTTTCTCTTGTTTCGCGTTATTTAGAAGGGCTAATCTTTTTTTCTTGTTGCTTCCTTTGATATTATTTCTAATATATTTCTTTGTTGTATTACTGCTTTCTTCTTCATTTATCTTACGTTTTAGTTCTGGCTTAGATGCTTCTGTTCCCCGAAGGCGTTTTAAACCTTTGTTTTGCAGAGACGTAAAGCTTACATATTGCTGCGATTCAACTGTAGGTACTTGCACTTTTGCAAGTTCTTTTAACAACTCTGCACTCTGTGGCAAAATAGATATTAATTATTGTATTATATAAAATGCCTCGTGATATCACATGATAAAATTGTAGTACCTCTAATTTCTTCTTTTTACGTTCCACTACTTTTTCCAGTTCTTTCCTACGTTTTTTCGATAATAATTTAGTGGGTACTTTTTTAACAACATTTTTTGTCTCTCTTTTCTTAGTAGGTAAAACAAGAGCATTGCAATTATTGTATTTATCAGCACGATGCTCGAAATCTACAACAACCTGAAATATGTTTTTGAAATTGTAATAATTGTGAAGAATACGTTCGACTAAAAAGACCAGACCATAAGTCTGTGTATTACCGGCATGACAGATTTCCTAACCTCGCGTGTGTCATTTTTTATTATTTCATTGAAAACGATACATTTTTCTTTCAAAATCGTGTTTTACACACCAAAATACACAATTCTGCAAAGTTTCAGCGAAATTGGTGAGGAGGCCCGTATTCTTTACAATTACCGAAATGGTTTCAGAGAAAAATTATTTATTTCATCCTAATAAACTAATTATATCGCGTATTATATAGTCAATTAAAGTACAATAAAATGTATGATTGTACAAAAAATGTTATACAAAGAACATGCACATTGCACATGATGGATGGACTGTAGGTGCGTTCGAGGCACAAGTTATTAACGCTGATCAGTTTATGCATCATTCTATCCTTGTATGTACATTTAATAATCGACAGCGATAACACATTAGTTTTGACAGCACGCTTCCGGAACGCATATTTTATTGTATCTCTAATGAGCGATAACGATAAAATCACACTTTAGCGTTGATAGCTTTGCGAACATGCACCCTACCATAACGAATATGTTTATTATAATTTTATGTTAAAAATAAATATTGAGAGACTAACCTCATTGGAATTATCAATTTCCACATTCTCCATAGTTGTCGATTTCGAATTAAAACGTTTTTTCTTCATTGTTAAGTAATATATCTAAAGAATTTGTAATTCAATATTAGCTTCAGGCGCTTCGCGAATATCCTGTCTATGCTAAGAAATCGAAGCGAATGAAGAGACTACACATGCGTGCACACAGAATTGTGATACTGATATTGGCTCTGTGCGCATGCGCAAAGACGTCAGAGCTAAAAACAGCTGTGCCCACAGATGTATTTAAAGTGGTCTGTACTTTGTAGCTGCACTGCTGAACTGGTGCAATAAGCTAGAATGAGAAAACCTATATTTGTCTCACTTTAACTTATTGCACCAGTTCAACAGTGCAGACCATAAGGCCTGGTCTACAATAGGTGTTGTAAGCTGTAAGCCGTAAGAACTGACCAATTATAGCCGATTATTTTTGTAATAATCGACTGTGATTCGCCAATTCTTACGGCTTACAACTTACGACACGTATTGTAGATCAGGCCTATGACCCCTTGCATAATGCCAGGCAACAAGCAATAAGAATAAAAATAGACCAATCACAGTCGACTATTACAAGAATAATCTATTGTGATTGGTCTATTTTTATTCTTATTGCCTGTTGCCTGGCATTGTGTAAGGGGCTTAACTGTAGGTGTTCACTATAGTGTATCCGTTACATATACTATAGTTGAATTAACTCAACTCGACCCAATCCTGAACATTTCGGAAGCACTCTAAAGCCCGTGTCACACTACGGATTGAAGATCAAGGATTGCGGATTGAAGATTAGATTTCGACAAATCAACAAACTTCGGTTTTAATTTGCTTTATTCCGATTGGTCAAATTTCAATCTTCAATCCGCAATCCTTTATTATAAAAAAAATCGTTTTTGCATAATCAATATTTTCTTAAAAATATCGATAATAATCTATGTTTTCCTAGTTTATTTTAAATTAATGTGAAGAGTTATATATTGCAACAATAAATTAATATATTATTAAAACCTTAAAGACCCTTTTACAATGGCTGCAAACATAAGCTTATATAAGAATAAGGCTATAAGCGTAAGCTACAAGAAATAAACCAATTAAAGTCGGTTGTTCTTATAATAGTCGATTATTGTTGGTTATTTTTTACTGTTTACTGTTACAGCTTTATTTTTGCAGCTATTGTAGGCAGGCCTTAATAGTAGTAAACAAATTCCCTAGTGATAAAAATTTAGTAACAAATCTAATAATATAATCGACGAGAAAAATAATCGATCTAGGGAATAATCGGCCCCAAAAATATCGGTCTGACAATCGATTTTTCAAGAAAATAAGAATCGATGCTTGTTTCATCGATCGATATTTGCCCATCACTACAGTGAATATTGGAACGCAGCCATAAGCAAAGAGTGTGTGGACTGTGTGGTTATCGTTGATTAATTAGAAATTCAATTCACAACATTAACAATAAATCAGAAATAAGAGAATCAAATTTGAAAAGAATGGCTTACGTAGATAATATTGTTCAGCGACACACGGGTCCCGTTTCGGAATGTATGATTCAGCCGGACTGGCTCAATTCGGAGCAGAGCACCGGGGTGAGTGTTGTAGATGACGTTTTGAGGTTACCATGACGCTGCAAAGTGAAGATGTTTAACGAATGTAAGGTTTTCGCGAAATTTAAGATTATAGTGGGCAAATATATTATTAAACAATTTGAATGTATATATCTCTTCGCATCGTGAAAGTTGAGAGAATCGATCTTGATATTTAATATGTTAATGTTACTCAGAACAAATATATATTTTAGATTGCGTTTTGAAACTTATTTTTGTTAATTCACTTTGAATTTATAAAATTTGAGGATATAAAATAATACACACATATTTTTTCATGTATTTGGATATATTATACAACAAATTTAATATTAACAACATTAACAATAATTGTATTCAACTGAATATATATATGAATATAAATATAAATTGTATTCAACTGAAGTTAGAGAAAATTGCAAAGACAAATTTGATGTCGCATATAATGACATTAATGATTCACAGTTGATGCTTACATAAGATTTTGTATCATGTTTGAACATTTTGTCATCATATATCTACGATATTCTATTTTAGCGCCTTATAAGGATTAAATGTTCAACGTGTACTCTTATCATGATTTACTACTTTATGATTGCCCTTTTGTGTCAAGTTGGTATTATATTTAGAGCCATTTTGATTTGTAGACATCAATTATGGCATGCGAATTTGATGGTGGCGTGGTAATAGGTGCTGACTCTCGGGCAACAACAGGGTAAAGAATAAGTACATAATGATATTTATCTATTATCATATTTATTGTAATTTTTGTTACAATTTCTCATCTTTATTTGATCTTATCAATAAGGCACTGGTATTAGTAAGGTTCATAATATTTGATTTTAATTTAATTTGTTTAATATAATTTTCTATTAGTTATTTGATTATTTTAGTTATATTATAGTTTATTATTATAGTAGTTTTCCTTCAATAAGAAAGAAGTAATAAACACAATATCCAAAAAATACATGTAAAGTACAATAAATGTAACAATCGACATTAGCCCACCTATGAAAACTATTTTTTCAGATCTTACATTTCCAATCGTTTTGCTGACAAATTGACGAGAGTAACAGATCATATTTATTGTTGTCGTTCTGGCTCAGCAGCAGACACCCAGGCTATTACTGATATAGTTGCTTACCACTTAGGATTGCATCAGTAAAGTGTCAACATATCTCTAATGTATTATATGCATCTAAGCATCGATGACGGCAAGCTTATGGTTTTCTAGGATGGAACTCGGCGCACAACCCTTGGTGGAAACTGCTGCCAATGTATTCCGCGAAATATGCTACAATTATCGGGACTCCCTGATGGCCGGGATTCTGGTGGCGGGATGGGACAAACAAAAGGGCGGTCAAGTTTACAGCATTCCCATAGGCGGTATGTGCGTCAGACAGCCGATTTCCATCGGCGGCTCCGGCTCGACATACGTGTACGGCTATGTGGACGCGCAGTACAAGTCCAACATGACGAAAGAAGAAAGCCTCAAGTTGGTTGAAAACAGTGAGTATCAGTCGAGTATCGTTGCGAAACAAAGGAAAAGGAGGGAGAGTGTACTTCTTTGCGGAATGGCGCCTTCAATGTTTGCGTTTCTTTTCAGCACTGGCGTTAGCGATGACTCGCGACGGTAGCAGCGGCGGTGTCATACGCACCGGCGTCATCTCAGAGAAGGGAATCGAGCGGAATGTAATACTGGGTAATGAATTGCCGCGCTTCTACGAAGGCTGAATCGTTTTGCTGTGTCTACGCTATACGTTATTGAGATAAGATATATAAATATTTCTAAAAATGCACGCGTGCGCGCGTATTACACGTCGTTCAGTTTGCTAATTAAAGTTAAATGGTAAAGTATGATCGGACGATGTGTTCTTCTGTTTCCTAATTATGCATCCTGGAAACAAGTCTTGCATCAGCAGCGTAGCGAAAAATAAGCTGCTCAATAGAGCAATATTAGCTGATCGTTAGAGCGAGAAATAGAAGCCGGTTTATCGACATATCACATTATCGTCGACAAGATACAATTATTATTCCAGTAACGAGAGATCGGTATCGCGAACTTATTGCTTTTCCGGTAAAAAAAAAAAAAAAAAAGGACCGCCGTTTTTACAACTTGTGAATTTCGTCGCTAGGACTTATCGGAATCGCGCGCGCGGCACCTGATTTATTTGATCAAATACGTATCCGTACCGCTACTTCTAAATTTAGGTCGTATTATCCACTTGTGATTCGCCGCCGCTGGGCGTATATATCCGTCGGTCGTTTCGACTCCGTACTTTAACGTCTATTGCCGGTATAATTGGAAAATTGTCGCAATGACACTATCGTGATGCGAGATAATCGCGACGACGACGACGACGACGACGACGACGACGATGACGACGACGACGACGTCGACGACGACGCTACGGGCCTCCTTAGGCTCCCAGCTGCGTGATCCATCCAAGGTAGTCGCATTTCAGCAAGCGAAAGACCCGGGTTCGATTCCCGGTCTAGCGGCTATCACGCTCTCGATATTTTTCTCTCTTCGGAACGAAAATAAGAGGTCCCGAACGCACGGCGTCCCGTCGCCACTTAGTACGCCTTCCTTCTTTCATGGCAGAGCTACCACTATCGCGCGTCAAAAATACGGTAGTCACCTTCACCGTTGATGTGTGTGTGTGTGTGTGTGTGTGTGTGTATGTAACCGATTCGGCGAACGATTTTCTCCACGTTTTGTGCGAAATTCTTTAACGCATAGTTCGCCCGCCAAGGTGCTTAACGAATGGGAAAAGGAATTATCGGAGGAGAAGCTTATGGTAAGGGTTGTATACGAGTATGGAAGACTTCGTTTGCTCGACGACACGAAAAGACACTCGACTTTCTTTTACTAATTGCTATTCGCTAGGATCATGTACGTCGAGCTTCGATTTTCTTTCTTGCAAAAGCTACTGTAATTCGAAATTCATTCTTAAGGTATCGTATCGTCGATGAAATTAACAGAGCTGCATGAGCATTAAAGATTACAGCATCCAGGGAGAATCTCGTGTTCAGATCGAGATTTTGCTTGTAATTTTGTTGACGATACTGCAAAGTGCGTCGACTCGCAAACTCGAATCGATTGCGTCAAAGTAAACTGCATCAGAAGATGAATTTTTTGCTTTCGTTGACTCGTGTACTCACGCGGAGTCTGAGTGAAGAATTAAATCTTTCGGTACATCCGTCACTGATAAGAATCACAAATAGCGAGGAACAACCTACTGACATGAATCGTTTCGCGATATACCCCTATACGTCGTTCATGTTAGACTGTAGCGTAACCATCGAGCGTGACTTCCGCGACGCTGAGAAGGCCATTGTTGAGCGTCGTTAAATTCGGAAGACGACACTTACTGACTCGGTCGTCGTTGAGATCTCTCGAGCAACACGCCTCTCACGACGGTGTCGACTCGTCACAAGCGACGAAGGAGTACACGTTCCACGGCGAGATGACATCGGAGGCTACTTCGGGTGACCTGCTGACGGACTGGGGGCAAGAAATACCCACCGTCCAGGAGGTCAGCAAGTCCATGCAGAACTTTAACATGCCGGACTACACAGTGTTCGCCGCGATGCTGATCGCGTGCGGCGCTATCGGTGTTTACTTCGGCTTCGTGAAGAAGTCTTCGGGCGAGGATGAGTATCTGGTCGGTGGTAGGAACATGAAGACCTTACCCGTCAGCTTCAGCTTGATAGCCAGCTTTGTATCGGGTATGACATTTGCATTTTCTATATATTTTACGTTCTGCAACTGCGTTTCTTATATATATTTATATCCTTGCATCTTCTAAGCTTGTCTTCCAGGACAAAGTACCTCAGACCGGGTTGACGTGCTTTGTGTGAAAAGAATCGCAGCGTGAGCTACGACGGAATTATCGGAACTAGGCCTGTATTTGCGCAAGAGCCACAATGTGTATTTACGATTGTAGCAAATAGACTGCGAGATTTTCTTGTTTTCCGTCGCGTATATTCATGGAAATTTCCACTATCATTCTTTCAATCATTCTTTTAATCATTCTTTCACCGTATGTCTCTTTATCTTCTTTCTTCTTTCTTCATCTTCTACGTAGTGGCAAATGGTGGTAGATTAGATAAGCCGACAGTCAGGTTGTAAATATCCTGCCGTCTGCAAACGTTTGAATTTTGCAATAAGGAAATTGATTTGACGCAAGCATGTGTACTTTGTTAAATTTTTAAATTCTTTAGAGTTTCTGTCTCTTACAGCTCGAAAATGCATATCATCAAGCTGCTCTATACATCCGGTGTTTTCAGAATTGTGAAATTGAGAACTGGTCTCTTCAGGTATCTCGTTGCTGGGCATGCCGACGGAAATTTACGTGCATGGCACGAGCTATCTCTTCGTCGTCAGCGGGATCGCCCTTGTGGGTTTAACCATGTCCAACGTGTACTTGCCGGTCTTCCACGAGCTCAAGCTCACCAGCACCTACGAGTATCTGGAGAGACGTTTCGACAAAAAGATCAGATTGCTAGGCTCCGTTCTGTTCTCCATCGGTATCGTAAGTAAAGCCTTTGCATCTCTTCACAATCTTTGCACAGATTTTGCGGTTGAAGACATGTTGATGCCCTCGCATGATTCTTGCAGATGACTTGGCTCCCGATCGTTATCTACGTGCCTGCTTTGGCTTTCAATCAAGGTGATATGCTCTGCAATCTGATAAAGAACGAACCTAAGAAGCATTTACAATTCAATAATTTCCAAAGAGCACGATACGTTCGTTATATTTTCATAAAAATTGCGCACACGTTATAGCTGGTTCTTTTTTTATCATCATCCACAATTGATTTTGTTCATAATATGGACATCCTTAATATGGCTAATTTCATTTCTGTTTTCACTTATAGTAACGGGAGTGAATGTGCACATAGTCACGCCCTTTGTGTGCATCGTTTGCATATTCTACACCTGTGTGGTAAGAGACGTTCTTCAATTTGCATAAAGATCTGTCGCAATCAGACGCAGTCGCACATTGCGTCTCTTTGCCCTATTTTATATCTCAAGACTGTACGCTGAATCTGTCACATTGGATTCAGGGCGGGCTGAAGGCGGTGGTGTGGACGGATTTCATTCAAGCCTTCATCATGTTCGGCTCCATGCTGTTAATCATAATCAAGGGCACGTGCGACCTCGGCGGATTGTCTCTGGTGATTCGAAGAAATCTGGAATCCGGAAGACTCGAATTCCCTTCGTGCGTGTGGCATTAAACGTTAATATAATACGAACGGTTGACCTTGTTATCGCGTCGCATCTCATGTCCTCCTTACAACGAATGAGAAATCTACAAATAAAATATAATCAATACACTTAATGTTTCCGTTTTTCTGCACAGGACAGACTGGAACCCTCTGACGAGACACACCATTTGGAGTCTTTTCATAGGCGGCTTCGTGCATTGGTTACAAATTTCCGGCATCAATCAGAATATGATTCAACGATATTTGGCGCTTCCCAGTTTACAATCAGCCAGAAGGCAGGGTCTTTTTTGAAAACGCAATGACCTATATTCCTATCTTTTCTTTCTTGATCGTATTGAATTTGTTAACTTCTACCTGACTTGAACATAATAGGATAATTCATTTTCGACCATATGTTTTAGAGCACTCTGGTATTTTATAGCCGGAATTCTGGCTATAATTGGGATATGTGGATATGCCGGTCTGTTGATCTATGCCTGGTATCACGAGTGCGATCCACTCACGACCAAAGTAACATTTATTTGCCTCACTCATTTAATGTTCTTCATATCACGAATGAGAGTGTATTTAATGGCGTATCTAATGTAATACAGTTGGCGCGTGCGAAGGATCAGTTATTGCCGTTGTTGGTGATGAATGTTTTGGGAGAACTACCGGGGCTTCCCGGCCTCTTCATGGCAGGTGTTTTCAGCGCCGCACTCAGGTCAGTTAATCGCGCTTACGACGAAATGTATATAGAATATAGTATATAGTATATACTATATATTCTATATAGTATATAGAAAATAGAAAAAGGAATTTTATATGATATTATATTATTATATCGAGTTTAAGGATGTAAGTTATATGTTACCTATGTATATGTTTGTATTTCTTATATTTATATAAACATCATATAACTTCAATTTTTATATATTAAATAATATTAAAGTTATATATTAAATTTATATATTAAATAATATTAAAGTCTATTAAGTTTAATTATATAGAGTTAAGCAAATAATTTTTTAAATAAATTGAGTTACTTTTCCAGCTCACTGTCGACCGGTTTGAATTCCATGGCTGCCGTAGTGCTGGAGGATTTCGTCAAGCCCTTCATCAAGACGCCGTTTACACGCAAATCAACTGACATTTTTCTGAAGCTCACAGTCGTCGTTTTAGGCGTAATTTGTGTTGCTCTCGTTTTTGTCGTTGAAAAGACGGATACTCACGTGTTACAGGTACACGCGCAAAACGATAGTCATTAGGTATTTGTAAATTAATGCCAGATGTATATATTCTTTTCTTATGTTTAACAAATATCATAGTTATCAATAAGCCTGTCCGCCATGACCACTGGACCAACTCTCGCTATATTCAGCATGGGTATACTGTTACCATGGGTCAACGCTAGAGTATGTGCAGACAAATAATTTTTTTAAGCTTAATATATGACAAGAAAGGTATATCAAATTATTCTTTGTTCTCTTGTTCAAAATTTTGTTTTATTAAATTCGACAGGGTGCTTTGGTCGGAGGACTCGCGGGTTTAGGCTTCATGGGCTGGCTCGGCCTTTCCGCCGGAGCAGCCATCGCTACTGGAAAAATCAAGTTAATATCCAAATCATATTCTTTTTTACCAGATTTTACATTTGCATTACACTGTATCATTGTTTTCCAATTCTTCCCATAGTATATGTTCTAACATATTTATGTCTTTGCAGATTCGAAGAGAAACCTGTTACCATAGAAGGATGCACATACTCATTTCCCCAAGTGGAGAATTTACTGTTATTTGTGCCACCAGATTCAACTTTAAATGAATCAAGCGCAGAGTGAGTTGAAATCTATTATTAGCTTCAGTACAAATGAATCTCAATCAGTGTACGTTAACATCAAATAACTGTTAATAAATCTTGTTAGAGTCAATATACTTGTTAGAGTCAATATACTTGTTAGAGTCAATATACTTTATGATGAAATGATCATCCGATTTAATAGGGAACCATGGGTGGTATTTCGTCTCAGTTATCTCTGGTACACGACGATCGGTGTTCTTGTAACTATGAGCATCAGTCTTATTGTGACTTTAGTTACTTCTCAAGATATCGAAAAGTTAGATCCTATGCTTTTAGCACCGTTCATGAGAAAATACTTCAAGACTGCAGACGGAAATGTAACAACTGAGAAGTTTCATCAAATTGAGGTAAGCTGAGATATTTCTATTCTGTTTTGTCAGAACGAAACATTTCATTGTCAAAAAGAAATGAGATTTTTCCTGTCACGCCATTATTGCATGTCATAGTGTTATAATTTAATAGGTGTATGTTATACAAATTGATAACATTTGACTAATTGTTTGTTCATAGATTACAAAATCGGACGTAAAGGTAGCAAATAATGAGGATGACAAATTATTACAAATAACTGCAACATGATGCAACTAAGTTAATTTAATTCTTGAATTCCGGATTCGTTCAAACAAATATAATTTTCTTACAATCAATTCATTACATAATTCACTATACAGTTGGATACATGTCGATTTGTGTATTATAGTTACACATTGTGAATTGTTCACAAAAATCACATATAAAATTTATACATGTGATAAAAATGTATATTATTAGTAGTTTACTATATATTGTAAAAATTGTTATAGGCTGTTGTATATTACTTTTACTTAAGCCTTACAACTAAAAGTATATATGTATTATATATTCATTATATATTCAATGTAAAAAAAAATACTCGTAAACATTTTTCAACAAAAGAAAATACAAGAAAGCAATATGTACCTGTTTCTATTCCCAAATCAAAATATAATATAAATCAAAAAATGTTACAGTGTGAAATATGAACATAAGTAATAATGTAAAAAAAAAAATTTTTTAAGAGGATATTTATTGGTGAAAATGTGTATAAATATGGACATATAATATGCAATGGACAAACAAAATTCTGCGATACACAAAAGTTAATGTATTTTATCATAGAACGTTGTTTTTGCAACAACATTTGGAATATCTCAAAGACACCTTGCAAGATATGAAATAGTCTTCTTATGCAATGTTTCTGAATCTTTTAGCTACTTTTTAGTTGCTTCTGAAGTATCCTAATACTTTACAGGTCATCTCCTATTGAAAATAATCGATCGTGCAAACAGATTAACCGAATGTATGGTCCGCATAGCAACCGACAGGCTATTAATAAGTGGAAGTAAAGCGTTTTTATTGTTATCGTCGTAGATAAAGGAGGAATAATGACCTGTACGATACGATACCCATTTCTTAACGATTGAACGTTGCACATGTATTATCGGCGTTTAAAAATTGTTTACACGCGTATTATTCGTTATCACGAGTGCGAAAACTTGCGTTGAGAAATTTACTGCCGAACATGCAGAAAAACAGATACTCTAATCTTGCAATGTACTCCATTGAATCTTGTCGCAACGCGCATGCGTGTCGCAACATTTCACCGGCGACACCGAGGCGCGATACAGCGGCGACATCAGGCATCATTCGACGCGACGGCTTCTACTGGCGCGGTCGACTTTGGATTGTTGACAGAGAACGTGTTACAACACGATAAACAAGTACAAGCAGGCGCTAAACGTGACGATGTCTACGCCCTCGAACTCACAGCTGGACGCCACGGCCGTGGATAACTTCCGCGAATACCTGAGGATACCGTCGGTGCAGCCAAACATTAATTACGGTAAGTTAAAATTTTATCGGCAAATTTTATTAAATGCGTAGTTCTATTTCCGGAGAGAGTTAAGTAGCTCCGAAAAAATGTATGCGCGGAGAAACTGAGCGATCGCGCGTGGAATATAAAAAGCAATGCATGAGACAAATTGTCTTGTTTTTTATTTCATCTTTTATTTTTATATCTCAGACTTTCTTTTCACTTTAGATATATCTCAAATTTTTATTTTACACTTATTTTAGATCACTTTTTTCCCGTGGCATTTTTTACATTATTATTATATAAATCTGTGAGTCAGTATCTGCGATTGTTTACTGGTTAGTTGAATGAGCAAGTTTGGCGGTCAAGTTTCTTCAAAATAAGTTTTTATTTACGAGTGCGTTCGCGGGAAGATAATATCAGCATTGTTTAGTGCTAAAAGTCGTTCATAAAGCAAGTCGCAGTTTTAACAAATATTATCATGCTGTATGTTGTAATAATGCGCATGTTAGCGTTAGCATTTGTAAATTCCGTGAACGACGAAAACGTTGTGAACTGCATGTATCACTGTCAAATACAACACCGGGATACATCGTATTTATGCATTTAAATAAATCCCCGGGATGCTAAAACTGAAAAAGTATTTAAATTGCGGAAATGACGTTTAACGCACTAACGCTAACGCTACTATTATTCGCAAAGTTCGCCATCACCATCGCGCTATTGATTCCACGAATAATTTCAGTAGTGTTTACACTGGTAGCGTTTCTTTCAACCCAATTTTGTATAATATTTGTGCGCCATTTTGTACAAATTTATCCGATACATGTATAAATATATATATATATATATATATATATATACCAGGTATGTCGGTAATTCCTTTCCGGTTTTTTCGCTAAAGAAAACACGTTATTTACAATGGATAGTTAAAATATATTTATTCAAAGTATTGGCCATTTGATTCTATACATTTTGCCCACCTCTCAGGCAATTTATGGATGCCATTCCAAAAGAACTGTTTCTCCTTTGAGCTAAACCATTCATCGAGCCATTTTTTAACTTCTTCGAAATCGGCGAAGTACTACTCTGCAAGCGCGTGCCCCATCGATGCGAAAAGGTGGTAGTCGGATGGAGCCAGGTCTGGAGAGTACGGCGGGTGCGATAAAACTTCCCATCCAAGTGATTTCAACACTTCTTTGACTGGTTTTGCTGTATGAGACGGCGCGTTGTCATGCTGCAAAATCACCTTATCATGTCTTTGAGCGTATTGTGAACGTTTTTCGATCAATGCACAGTTTCAAATTGATCATTTGTTGTTAGTAGCGATCAGTATTAACTGTTCCTCCAGGTTTCAACAGTTCATAATATACGACATCAACCTGGTCCCACCAGACACAGAGCATGGTCTTAGCGATTTGGCCTTGCAGTCGATGGGCCGCCTTCGCCAGGTGATAACCATGATTTTTTTCGCTTGGGATTTTCGAAATAAATCCATTTTTCATCACCCGTTACTATTCGATGCAGAAATGACTTCCTTTCATACCTTTGAAGCAGCATTTCACTGACGATTTTTCGATTTTCCAATTGCCTGTCATTCAATTCATGTGGCACCCATCTTCCTATCTTTTGGATCTTTCCCATCGCTTGTAATCGTTCACAAATTGCTACTTGGCTCCCATTCAACTTTTCTGCCAATTGTTTTTGAGTTTGTGTTGGGTCTTCATCCAATAACTCCTGCAATTCCGCATCTTCAAACGTTTTCGGTCTACCAGAACGTTTTTTGTCTTGAACGTTGAAATCACCACATTTGAATTGTCGAAACCACGTTTCACATGTTCTTATGGTTGGAGCATGCTAACCATAAGTCTCTACCAGCAAACGATGACTTTCAGCGGCTTTTTTCTTTTGATTAAACAAGAAAAGTAACGCGTGCCGCAAATGCACGTTTTCAGGCACAAAACTCGACATTTTCAAAAAATTATTAATCTATAACGCTGTTATTTTGGCGGAACGTAACTTGTGTAGTTTTGAGGTTAATGTCAGTAGAATAAAATGACATATGTATCAAATCATAACATTGCATACTTATGGCTAGTGACATCTGTTACAAAAACCGGAAAGTAATTACCGACATACCTGGTATATATATATATGTGTGTGTATGTATATTTTGATGCGAGCTTGAGAGAAAAGGACACAACGTGACGTATCAGGACTATCACGTTGATTTGTATAGAAATATATATTCGCGTAATTGAATTGTCAAGCCGACGATATACAGGGTGTCCCATTTTAATCCGGCCGGCTGAATAAAATTCGAGGATATTTTCCAGAAAAAAATGTCAGACAAATGTTGCTCAATTCTAAGGGGGACATTCGATGCCATCAACAATTTTGACCTCGAGTGAAGGATTCAAGGTCATTCAAGGTCAACTTTTTTTTTCTTAAATGGGAACCCCTATTTTTCACATCGGCAATCGATTCTACGTAAAAAAAATGAGACTTTTGTCTGAAGCATTTTTTTTTATAACGCAAACTAATTTCACTTATTCAACCTCCAAAATTGAAATTTTCAAACTTTCTGAATTTTTTACTCGAGAATGGTAAAGTTTGGGGGGAAATTGCAGAAGACAAAAAGTTCTTGGAATGCTGCAAGGAATTCACTCGAATTTTCGCATAGTTGATCGTGCACTTTTTTCCGCCAATATTTGGAAAAAATCTTTTATCTCATCATGTTCAGTTTCGCATACCCTCGGCATGCGAAAATTGGAGTGAATTCTTTGCAGCATTCCAAGAACTTTTTGTCTTCTGCAATTTCCCCCCAAACCTCACCATTCTCGAGTAAAAAATTCAGAAAGTTTGAAAATTTCAATTTTGGAGGTTGAATAAGTGAAATTAGTTTGCGTTATAAAAAAAATGCTTCAGACAAAAGTTTCATTTGTTTTTACGTAGAATCGATTGCCGAAGTGAAAAATAGGGGTTCCCATTTAAGAAAAAAAAGTTGACCTTGAATGACCTTGAACCCTTCACCCGAGGTCAAAATTGTTGATGGCATCGAATGTCCCCCTTAGAACTGAGCAACATTTGTCTGACATTTTTTTTTTTGAAAATATCATCCTCGAATTTTATTCAGCCGGCCGGATTAAAATGGGACACCCTGTATATCTTCAATTCAGTCTGTTCGGATCAACACTTTGAAACGACCGTGAGAAAAAAATAGATTGGCCACGTGCGATGAAAAAGCAAAATCGTCCGCGTGAATGAATCGCGCCAGCGCGCTCAACGATGCGTTTCCGTGTTAATTAAACAGATTGTCCAGCTCGTTGAGACGATGTGGCGAATCTCCCGCGAAGAGCTCGATGATAACAACGTCTTTGGGAGGATACGCAAAAATTGCCACGCTGGAGATAAACGAAATGGATATTTCTTTAAAAAATCGAGGATTTATTCCCGGCGAAAAAATTTTTAATTAGTTACAAAGCCAATTAAGATTAAGTTACTGAGCCAATTAATTGATTAGAGAACTTAACAAAGTATATGTACGTGTTTGTAGCATTTATGAATTTGTTATCTTTGATCGGCATTTTGTTTGGTATCTCGTTATCTGATAACCAACAGAGATACCATTGAGATGGTATTTTTCTTGTTTGCATCTTCACACTGTATTTGACAAAATACTACAAATTAATAAAGTTTCTTTTTTATTTTTAACTTTATTATTCGCTTGATGTATACGGCGATAAATTATCAGTTTCGACGGATATACTAGCTATATACTATTTTTATTGCTGAATAACGTCAAGTGACTAGTGGTATGTTCTTTGCAGCTGCACTGTTGAACTGGTGCAATAAGTTAAAGTGAGACAAATATAGGTTTTCTCACTCTAGCTTATTTCACCAGCTCAGCAGTGCAGCTACAAAGAACAGACCATTGATGTATTATACTTATATATTACTAGAGATGTGCGAAAACTATTTGAATTCGAATCGAATCTAATGTAATTCGATTAGATTCGAATCCGAATCCTTATGATTCGAATCCGAATAATTCGAATAGGAATCAAATATTATAAATTATCGTTTGCGCGCATCAGCTACAAAACGAGCCATCCGGGCCTGTATGTTTGAACCCTTAACTTGTAATTAACTTAACTTATAATTAATAACTTAATTATAAATTACTTTAAATATTTAAATATATACTTTACTTTAAGATGATATTACAATATCAATATTCTCTTTCATATTAAAATCTTCCATCATTATTTGCATGTTTAATCAATTAATTAATAAGTCATGTTAAATTTTTTAATGATTCGATTTGATTTCATTCGATTCGATTCGATTCGACATAAAAATTCTTGATTCGCATATCTCTGTATATTATAGATTATACTATGTTTAAACAATGGTGCGAGCTAGTACGAACAATTAATCATCGAATTCATCGATTTATTTTATATTTTTATTTCAGACGACTGCGTGTCGTTTTTACAAAAGCAAGCCAAGTCCCTCGACTTGCCGATTAAGATCTATCAGGTATATCCCAAGAGACCGATCGTGGTTCTTACGTGGGCAGGGACTGAACCAACGAAGCCGTCGATTCTCCTCAACAGTCACATGGATGTTGTGCCAGTTTTCGAGGTGAGTTCTTGACGATCATCAAGGACAACATACGATCACGTAGAACGTATTACCTCACTTAAGCTACGATGATACAGACATCTCGCTCTGACACGTCCAGCAATTACACAATTGATTAATTGACGTAGGAATATTGGTCCTATCCACCATTCGACGCTCACATGGACGAGAAGGGCAACATCTACGCTCGCGGTAGCCAGGACATGAAATGCGTGGGTATCCAATACCTGGAGGCGATTCGCAGACTGAAGCTGAACGGACAGCGTCTTTCACGCACCATCCACATATCCTTCGTACCGGACGAGGAGATCGGCGGCGTCCTCGGCATGAAGGATTTTGTGCACACCGCGGACTTCAAGTCCCTGAACGTTGGCTTCGCCTTGGATGAAGGCGTATCCTGTCCGCAAGATCAGTTCTACATGTTCAACGGCGAGAGATCGATCTGGCACCTGGTGATACATTGCGTCGGTAACACCGGCCATGGCTCGATCATGATGGAAAACACGGCTGCGGAGAAGCTAACGAATATAATCAACCGCTTAATGGAGTTGAGAGCGACCGAGAAGGCGAAACTGGCGGACTCTAAAAAATACAAGTTAGGCGACGTGACGTCCGTGAATCTTACGAAACTCAATGTAAGTATCGTGAATCTACAAGCTGTAGCGAGAATGCAGGAACGCTAATTGTCGAGCGAATTCTGTTGGCCGATACGATAAGAACAATTTATGATCGTTAAGATTCGCTCTGCAAACAAAAGTTCGCATTTTTATCGCACGCTGTTGAGAAGCGCTTTTTGTTACTTTTGTGGGAGGAAATGGGGAATGGAAATTTTCAGTCACCTAACAATCCTCAGTATCTGAAGTGTTGTTATCCGGTTGTGTCAAATCCAAGCATCTGGAAATCCCGAATCGTATTTACAGTCCTAATGATAAAAGACTATTGAGTCTCATTATGCTTACCCTGTATAAAATGTCGAATTGAAACGTATTAAAAAGTATTGACATTTTGAATACTGCTTTCTGAATTCTGCTTTCTGATCCGAAGAAAGGGATTGAAAAGTATTAGTTCCCATTAAATCTCACCGCGCTAAATGCGAGACGGCAGTGGTGAATGCTTGGCATTAAAAAAGATTCAATTCATTTCAAATATGCCTTGCATTCAATCACACAATCGATAATTTTCAAATGCGAACTTTCGCATTGAAAAGTATTCAATTCTTCTCCTATAATTGTTTTCGGACTCAGAGGCATACAAGATTTTCACGTTCTATTCCCCGTCGCATTGGAAAGTATTGGCCCGCGATCCGATCCAAACGATTTCCGCAAAGCAGAATTCACGACGAAATCTCGTGAATGCGAAACGATACTTTTAAATACGACATTTTATACAGCGTAGCCATCGAATCTCGTTTATATTTATGTTTATTTATGGTCACGTAAATAAATTCATCGAGTCATTATCTTTCGTTCTAGATGAATTTATGAGCTTCATACGAATATCGAATATAATAGAGTATTGAATTTGTGCACTTAAGAGAAAAACGGTTTCCAAACAGATCGGTTAGTTGTAACGTTTAAGCCACTGTACGACTTCTTCTCTGCTTTACATGTCTGTACCATTAGGATTTTCATTAGGATCACGCAGTGAGTATCCTTTCATTTAACAATTTAACAATTTACGTTGAACCGTGTCGTCTTGAACTTCGTTATTCTTCGTGTTGCGATCATGCTTTGTACCTCATCTTTGTACATTCCATATTTTTATCGGTTTCTACTCTTCGAATCTCATCAATTTTGGCTCTTAATTCACCTCTTCTCGATACTTGTCTATTGCCAACACGTCGCAGTTTTCTAATTCGTCAAATGCACCTCTTTCAGGGCGGTGTGCAGACCAACGTGATACCCAGAGAGTTCACGGCTGTGTTCGACATTCGTGTAGCAGACACTGTCGACCACGAAGAATTTGAAGCAACCATTAAACGTTGGTGCGAGGAGGCCGGGCCAGATGTAACCTACTCTTTCGAGGAGAAGAATCCTAAGGTCAAGAGTACGAAGTTGGACGAGTCCAATCCTTTCTGGATTGCGTTTAAAAAGAGCTGCGATGAACAAGGTATTGAGCTAGAGATCGGCATTTTCCCGGGAGGCACGGACTGTCGCTACGTGCGCTCGGTAAGTATCGGGCTGTGAGCTTTGGACTTGACAATTCAGTATTAAAAGCAACGCAGCAAACAGCTATGCTAAACACAAATATTACATATTTTTTTATTATATTAATTTGGCAGGTGGGCATCCCCGCCTTAGGCTTCTCGCCGATGAACAAGACCAAAATACTTATTCATGATCATGACGAATATCTCAACAAGGATATATTCCTGAAAGGAATAGAGATATACACCAAATTAATACCAGCTGTGGCGAATGTTTAAAAGCATGGACATGTTAGACATTAATGCTGCAATATTCTTATTTCGGGTGTTTCTAATCGATTACTAATAGTTCATTACGCGTCACTTTTGCGAATATGAGCCAGTTGTTGCAACTACTTGACAAGTTAACTGATAGTTAAATCATATGTCTGTCTTTGTCTAAATTGAAGGAAAAACGAAGGTAAACATATGATTTTTAACTATCAGTTAACTTACCAAAAAGTTGGAACAAATCACTTGTATGCTTATTACTACCTTGAGTGTCTTAGATATAGAGATATAGATATAGAGAACTGATAATTATATGATACGCACGATAACGTGCTGAGTTAACATATCTATCGCATTTATATATACCAGTGTTATGCAATTTTACGATTTTATCACTGTTAAGGATTAATTTGAGACTCGTTGTTATTTTTATGTAATTATATCGTCGATGAGAATAATATGAAGAAGCATACACAGTGCAACTACTTGAGTCTCATTATAATTCAGTTAAAGAGCATCAATACACTTTTTCGTACAAGAGACGAAAGAAATATTCTTTATACAGTGTCGCAACACACAGAATAAAAGCACTTTTCGAATCGCAGCATCGTAGCGACTCTAAAATGTAAACTTTGAAATGATAATAACAATAAAAATATAACAATACTAATAAGAATATTATTTGCACCGTGTTTGCCCACCATTTCTACAAACTGAAACAGTAATAAGCCGTTTTCACACATTTTGTAATAAAATAAGTGTCAACGGACGTGTTTAGTTTAATACTTATCATCGGTATTTGGAATATACATTGTTTGAAATCTGACTGGCCCGCGCGTCCTAATTTTTAATGGAGATTCTTCTTATCATGGAGGACAAGGTGACGTGGCAAATATCATATAAATTCGAGAGCGAAGACACACACAGGCGTGGCATTTCGTTGGACGTCGACCTGACTTTATCTGTTCGATTGTAGTTGAATACCGACATTGTGTATAATAGAGTGACCAAGAAGATCCCTACTATGGCCCAAGAACACGAGCTTTCGGAAAAGGAACTGGATGAAAAGGCTGTGGAATATTTTCGAGAATATCTACGCATACCATCGGTGCAACCGAACGCTAAATATGGTGAGCGGACGCATGAGCAAATTTTCGAAAAATTCCATTGAAATAAAATGAGTAGATCTGCACCTTCGGACAGATTTGCACAGCGACGGGAATTGCGCGTAAATTATAATAAAAGTAATCGCTGTATACGGCATGAAAAAGATGAGAGTGGCGTTCTATATCCTTCAGCTTGAATTAATTTAGATTAGCCGGTAGTCATTATCATAAAGATGGCGAGTGCTCAAACGAGCAAAGTAAACGTGTTTATGTCTACTTTATTTGACGAGTGTTCTAATAATTAATCATCATTCAACTATTTATCATTGATTAATTATTAATGATATTTTATATTATTATTATTTATTATTATTGATGATGATAACGATTATTATTATTATTAATTTATATTATTATTATTATTATTATTATTATTAATATAATTATTAATGATATTTTAGAGAAATGCGTTGAATTTATACTGACACTGGCAGAATCTTTTCACTTGCCGGCTAAAGTGTATCATTTACATCCCGGGAAGCCAGTGGTGATTATCGCATGGGAAGGAACGGACTCGAGCAAGTCGACGATCCTCTTGAACAACCACATGGACGTTGTCACGACTTACCCGGTAATGCATTTGTTTGAGAATTCTACGAGTGTCGTCTCTCACGCCACACTACCTAACTGAATAATTAAATGATTGATCTAGGACAAATGGTTGTATCCGCCGTTCAGCGCGCACATGGATGAGGACGGCAATATTTATGCACGTGGCAGCCAAGACATGAAGAGCGTGGGAATGCAATATTTAGAAGCGATTCACAGATTCAAGCTGAACGGTAAGCGTTTCTCGCGAACTGTTTACATTTCTTTTATGCCGGAGGAGGAGGTCGGTGGCGAGCATGGCATGAAAGACTTCGTGCAAAGCGCATATTTCAAGTCCCTGAACGTCGGCTTTGCGCTGGACGAGGGTAACGGATTTTCCGACTCGTCCTTCCACGTGACCTACATAGACAAGGCAAAGTGGAGTGTGGAGATAACTTGCGAAGGCGTCACCGGACACGGCTCGCTTATGCTGGACAACACCGCCGCGGAAAAAATGCAGGTCATAGTCAACCGTTTTTTGGACTTGAGAGCGAAAGAGAAAACGAAGTTAGATTCTGGGAGCGTCGGTGACGTGACATCTGTAAATCTTACGAAAATCACTGTAAGCGTTGCACAGATCCGAACAGAAACTCCTAAAAGACGTATAAATAAATAAAAGTAGAGGATATCTTCCCTGTATAAAATGTCGTATTTAAAAGTATCGTTTCGCATTCACGAGATTTCGTCGTGAATTCTGCTTTGCGAAAATCATTTGGATCGGATCGCGGGCCAATACTTTTCAATGCGACGGGGAATAGAACGTGAAAATCTTGTATGCCTCTGAGTCCGAAAACAGTTATAGGAGAAGAAGTGAATACTTTTCAATGCGAAAGTTCGCATTTGAAAATTATCGAATGTGTGATTGAATGCGAGGCATATTTGAAATGAATTGAATCTTTTTTAATGCGAAGTATTCACCACTGCCGTCTCGCATTTAGCGCGGTGAGATTTAATGGGAACTAATACTTTTCAATCCCTTTCTTCGGATCAGAAAGCAGAATTCAGAAAGCAGTATTCAAAATGTCAATACTTTTTAATACGTTTCAATTCGACATTTTATACAGGGTTTTTTTATAGAAGATTAGGTTGTCTAGGAATATAATAACAGGACGATTTTTACCTCACTCAAATAATACAGAAAGTATTACGCGTACGATGAACGATGAAGGTGTGGTCTATTTATCAAAATCGCAATCTCTTAATCCGTCTTAATGCATCTCTTTCAGGGTGGTGTAGAAGACAACATTATACCCCAGATTGTGAAGATTCTATTTGATATTCGTCTGGCGCCTAGCGCCAGTCACGAAGAGCTCGAGGCCATCATCCAAAGCTGGTGCAAGGAAGCTGGTACGGGAGTAACTTACAAGTTTTGTAAGAAGAATCCTAAGATCGAAGGCACCAAAGTTGACGATACCAATCCCTTCTGGATGGCTTTCAAGAAAGCTGCCGATGAACTCGATATAGAGCTCAAGTTGACAATTAATACCGCTACCTCGGACGCTCGCTTTTTACGTCAGGTAAGCAGTTTTTCGTGTGTGTGTGCGCGCGCGTGTGTCTTGCATTTTAACTTTTCCTTCTTATCTGGCTATGCTAAATGCATGTTATGTAAGTAGAAGTTACTAGTTTAAGCGATGAGTTAAAAATGTTACTAGTAGGCAAAGCGTCGAAGCACAATCAAAATGATTTTTACTTCGCAGATGGGCATCCCCGTTTTAGGATTCTCGCCGATAAACGAGACGGAAATTCGCATCCACGCTGACAACGAGTATCTGAACAAAAAAACATTTCTCAGAGGAATAGAGATATATACCAAAATAATACCGGCAATCGCAAATGTTTAAAAACGAACACGCATCGACTGTCCCTTTTCTTCTTTATAGATATTCCCGGCAAATAAAATATTTTCGTGGAACTTTCTATGTTATATACATAACGAAACTGCAGAAACAAAAATCATGATGGAAGCGAATTTCTTGTGGTGAGCGTTTCTTTTATTAAACAAAAAGGTAAAAAAAGACGCCAAGTACAAGCGCAACACGTATTGTGTTATTTTCAGAAATTTCAAACTCAAATTATTTTTTTTAATGTATATATATGTGTACATAAATTTTTACAAATCAAACTTATAACTATAGTAAAACCCTACAACACTATTCTACTGTACAAAAGAAGTGATATATTAAAACAGTAGCGCCAACTGAGAAACCTAACATATATATGTGATTATTGATATACTTAACACTTAGTGATATATTTAATATTTTTAGAAATCTCAAATTCAAATTTTTTCCTTTTTTTTTTAAAATATATATTATGTACTTAACATAAGTTTTTACAAGTAGAACTTATCAAATTATTTTTCTTTTAAGATATATATGTACATGACATAAGTTTTTACAAGTAAAAATTATATCGTGTTATAAAAATTTAACACGTTTATTAACCCCTTGCCTTACAATATCGTGTGAGAGACGTGGTACGTCGATCGGGCCAAACGTAAATAACACGTGTGAAAGACGTAGTACGTCGTTCGGTCCAAACGTAAACACGTGTCAAAGACGTGGTACACGTCGATCGGGCTATACGCGACAAACACTTAATAATTTTCTTAAAAAAACGTAGCGAAACAACGTGGGAGTGCAAAAGATGTAAAGATGCATTATATGTACCAATATGCTTTGAAAGATACCATACGATTCAAGATTATTAAATTTTTGTAAATTTTATCAAAACGTTAATAATTTATAATGTGTCATAATGGCTCGACGTGTGTGACCGACCTTGTTGTTGTTTGTGGCATGCGCCATCAGAACTTAAATTGTAAGGCAAGGGGTTAATAGTGTCCAATATTTAAAAAAAATATCTTTTCAAAGGCCACAAAAATCCGGTCAAACATGATTCCTTTATAAATCACTAGGTTTCTGTTGATTGAAACTTTTTAAAACAATGGGATAAAGTTATACCCCTGGTGGCAAAGTAACCCCGGTTTACGGCACATTGAATGATATACATTGACAGAGGTTACAAAAATGTTGTAAGGTCTACATTACTTAATATTAATATTATATTATATTTCATTTTCAACATAGGTTACAATATCTGAGTCAAGTAAAGCAATCTTCAAGCGCCAATTAACGCAGAAAAGCAGAGCAAAATTTCCAGAATCTCTTAAAACATTTGCTACAACCCTTCAATTTTTTTCTAGTAGAGCATACGATTATGTCCGAAAAGTTTTTATGAAATCCTTACCGCATTCTGCAACTATCCGAAAATGGTATCGAAAATTGAATGGAACTTGTGGTACGCAGGAAGCCGTAAACACCCTGGCAAGAAAGGCCCATATAGCCAAGTCTGAAAATAAAAATTTATACTTTAGTTTGTCAATAGATGAAATGTCTATTAAGCGTCAAATAGATTGGGATGGTACACAGTACATTGGATTTGTAAATTTGGGAATGGACATCGACACTGATGAGTTACCCGAGGCCAATTATGCATTGGTGTTTATATATGGTAACTTGCATCAATGAGCATTTTAAAATACCAGTTGCTTATTATTTCATTCACGCATTGAGTGGAGCAGAAAGGGCAAATTTATTGAAACAATGCCTCTTAGTCTTGCATGAAGCCAATGACATTGTTTCTGTTACTGTCGATGGAGCTGCCTCCAACATTTCCATGTTGAATAACATGGGAGCTAATTTATCAACTGATAATTTGGTGCCATATTTTTACCATCCAATATCTAAACATTGCATTTTCATTCTCCTCGATGCTTGTCACATGCTTAAACTCATTCGAAATGCTTTTGCTTCTAAGAAAATGTTATGGGATAAAAATGGAGAATTAATAAATTGGGCATTTATTGTAGCATTAGTGCAGTTACAAGAAACGGAAGAGCTTCATGCAGGGACAAAAATTCGACGTCGCCATCTCAATTGGCAAAAGGAGAAAATGAAAGTATCATTAGCAGCACAAGTCCTTAGTACAAGCGTAGCAAATGCGCTAAAATTTTGTGCAGAAGATCTAAGTTTATCTACATTCGCCGGCTGTGGTGATACTGCAAACTTTTGCATTCGAATTAATAATATGTTCGATTTATTAAACAGTCGTAATCGTTTTTGTAAAAATAAATTTGCCCAATATTTAACACGAAAAAATTATGATGACATATGCAAACAAGTTGATAATTATTGTAATTACTTGAAAGGATTGAAAGATGGTCAATTGCCAGATACTTAAATCTAATCGCAAAATGGGTTTCTTCGGCTTCCTGGTTTGCATGAAAAGCATATTGGGCATTTCTCTTCGTCTGTTTGTGGATAGCAATTTTAAGTACCTTTTGACATACAAGTTATCGCAGGATCACTTAGAAACCTTTTTCAGTGCTATACGTAGCCGTGGAGGTTTTAATAATAACCCGATAGCTAAACAATTTATAGCAGCATATAAACGGCTACTGCTTCATACAGATATTGACATTTCGAAATATGCCAATAACACGGTCATAGATAAAACTGCTGTTTTAAGTATAAATGATGTAACATCAGTGGATAATATTGATGATGTAACACGTACTGAATTAGTAGATTCTATAATACACGATCATGATTATCTTTTTCATAATGATTGGCTATCTACTGATTATATTGAACATGTGGTCTGCTACATAAGTGGATTTATTACTAAAAGTGTTAGTAAGATCTTAAAATGTGAAATATGTGTATCTTATTTAACTTGTGAAAAATCTTTCTCTTATTTGCAAAACCAGAAATGTAGAGGCGGTTTAACTTCGGCTTCGCAAGATGTAATTACAACATGTCTTATTGCGGAAAAAATATTTAGGACATATGGCAATTTGTTTCATCAAAAAAATATTATTCCGCATTTATTAAAACTCTACCTGTCATTCCTTCGAATGTTTTTCATAATGATGATCATTTATTTGACCAGAATCCTCTAAGTGATCATAGAACTCAAGTACTGAAAATAATTCTTACTATTTTAATCTTCGTTTACGTCATCAAGGATTATCGAAAAAAAATACAGTTGTTAGAATTAGATCGACATATACTAAACTGATTTTGTTTAAAAATCAGTAATTTTATTATACAAAAAAAATAGCATTTCGTTCGACTGCATATGTAAAAATAAAATGTACTATGTACCTTATCAAATATATTTATAATAAGTATGTACAAAATATATTTACATTTATATGTATGTGTGTGTGTGTACGTTATTTTATTTTTATATGATTCTTCTTACATTGTAAATGTTTTCATTACATAAATATATAATAAAATTTCTCTAATAACATTTTAAAGTCATTTGATGCAATGTGTTATGTATTACTTTATATTTTATCACTTGTCATATACAGGGTGTCCCATTTTAAGTGTCCACCAAAAATATCTCTATTTTTGATTTTAGAGAAAAATGGTTCAGACACGTTTTGTATGGTTTCGAGGGGGCCATAAGATGGTACCATTGATTTGACCTTGAAGAGTCATTTGAAGGTCACATGAAGGTTACCTCAATTTTTTTAGATGGCACCCCCTATTTTTTATTACATATTCTTGTAGCTGACCTCGAGAGCTTCCCAAAACACTATAATCAAATGTTTTGTGGTGAAGTACTTTTCGAGTTATAAAGTTTCAAATTTACAAAATTTTGATAAAAATACAAAATATTTCGTAAAGCATTCACTTTCCGATAATCTTATCTTACATGATCCAACCAGTCAAGGCAAGATCCGAGCATGATCCAACCAGTCAAGGCAAGATCCGAGCATGATCCAGCCAGTCAAGACGAGATCTTGTATTGCCTGATAATCAATGAACTGTAACAATTGTGAAAGTGCAATTGCCAATTCTTTTAATGAAACAAATATCAAGAGGCTTGTTTAAAATTTCTTACTTGGGCAACTGTCGGTATTTTGGCGAAGTCTCAGACAGACGCATATTATTATTCATTAACTTTTTTTTTTATAAGACAGGAATTTTTAGTTTTTTGGCGCTTTTTTTCTTTATAATTATGGCTGCTTATCCACCAAATGAAATTGTGGACATGATTCGCATTTTAGGTGAGGCCAGGAATAATTACTCGGCAGCAGAAAGGCTTTATGCTGAAAGATTTCCAGACAGACGCCATCCTGATAGGAAAGTAATAAAAAGACTCTGCGACAGAGCTGAACAGGGTTTTCTTAGAAGAAACCGGCGAAAATCGGGCCCTAATGAAGTCACATCATTGACTGTTATAGGTGCCGTTGCTTTGAATCCTCAAATCTCTACGAAACAAATTGAAAGGCAATACGGTATATCTAAATCAACAGCCAATCGTGTGCTCAAGCACAACAAGTTTCACCCATATCACATTCATCTAACTCAGCGATTGGAAGAGAGGGACTACCAACGCCGTGTACGTTTTTGTAACTGGGCTCAAGATCAAATCCAACAAAATCCCCGGTTCATTGCTGATACGCTTTCTTCTGATGAAGCCATGTTTTGTAATAGAGGAGGCGTTAATAGACATAACTGCCATTATTATTCAGATGCTAATCCACATTGGCAGAGAAGCCAAGAGTTCCAACGGCAGTGGTCCATTAACGTTTGGGCAGGCATCCTGGGAGATGTTATTGTTGGTCCATATTTTTTTGAAGAAAATCTCAATGCGGCAATCTATCTAAGATTTCTTCAAGATGACCTGCTCAACCTCTTGAGACATGTCGACAATGATTTACTCAGACGAATGTGGTTCCAACAAGATGGAGCACCGGCTTATAGATCTCGAGCTGTTACACAATATTTAAACAATAGATTCCCGAATAGGTGGATTGGTATGGGCAGCCGAGTTCAAGAATGGCCTCCAAGATCACCCGACTTGACACCCCTAGATTTTTATTTCTGGGGCTACATTAGAGATATAGTTTATTCGCAAAAGCCTACAACCGTTGAAAATATGAAAAACCGGATCAGACAGGCTTGCAGAAATATTAATGTAGGTGTTCTTGAAAAAGTTAGGGACAACTTTCACTATAGATTAGAGCTATGTATACAAGTAAATGACCAAGTTTTTGAACACTTTAAGTAATTGTACACAAAAGAAGATCTTGCCTTGACTGATTGGATCATGCTCGGATCTTGCCTTGACTGGCTGAATCATGCTCGGATCTTGCCTTGACTGACTGGATCATGCTCAGATCTTGTCTTAACTGGCTGGATCATGCTCGGATCTTGCCTTGACTGGCTGGATCATGCTTGGATCTTGCCTTGACAGTACGTGACATGTTCGCTTGGCTATATTCCGACGGATTCGTCATGGATTGAAAAATGTGATGCGGTTGTTTTTGGAAACCTCAACTTGTTTCTTTACTTCCCTTTTATTCTTCACTTCTCGGTGATTTCGGTAATATATGGGAAACAAATAGATATCTGTGAAACATGAAATTCTTGTTGAATTTATGCAGCACGTATCTGACATATGTTCAGTTCAGTTCGATATATGGCTTTAGATAGATGTACCCATTACCGATACACCATTCTCCTTCTGACATATGTATAACAGTGATAACAAGTCAAATATATCTATTGTTAGATATAGAGGTTGCCTCATTCTCCTTCTTACATATGTATAACAGTGATAACAAGTCAAGTGTATCTATTATTAGATATAGAGGTTGCCTCATTGATGAGCTTGTAGGCAGAGTACGCATCAGTAAGAGGGGCTATTGACGTCTTGCCTTGACTGGCTGGATCATGCTCGGATCCTGCCTTGACTGCTAAAGTTCCATAGGGAACCACTGGGGAGCCGCACTGGGATTCACAATGACGTCAATAGCCCCTCTTACTGATGCGTACTCTGCCTACAAGCTCATCAATGAGGCAACCTCTATATCTAACAATAGATATATTTGACTTGTTATCACTGTTATACATATGTCAGAAGGAGAATGGTGTATCGGTAATGGGTACATCTATCTAAAGCCATATATCGAACTGAACTGAACATATGTCAGATACGTGCTGCATAAATTCAACAAGAATTTCATGTTTCACAGATATCTATTTGTTTCCCATATATTACCGAAATCACCGAGAAGTGAAGAATAAAAGGGAAGTAAAGAAACAAGTTGAGGTTTCCAAAAACAACCGCATCACATTTTTCAACATGACGAATCCGTCGGAATATAGCCAAGCGAACATGTTACGTACTTTCGTACAGTGCTTAATTGACGAGTTCGAAGAAGAAATAAGATGTATGTCAGGAAAGTGTATAGACATTGGTTGTGGTCCCGGTGACACTACAAAAGATATTCTCCTACCCGCACTCGACCCAAAAGCGGTAGTCACTGGTATGAAAATAATATATTGCTAAAATATGATACACATGTTGACGAGATTTATCATTTAAGTACGATTTGTTTGAAGGTGTGGATATCTTGGAAAGTATGATTACGCACGCCAAGAAAGTATACGGTGACGAGGTACGACTCAATTTCGACATACTTAACATTGAAACAAAAGAGTTGCCAAAAAAATATATTTCTCAGTACGATCATGCATTCACATTTTATGTTCTGCATTGGTGCCAAGATATTCGGTAAGACAGATATTTAACGAAATGCGGATATAAATTGAAATGGATAAACTAATTCGAGAAAATATTATATAATTTAATTATCCACATCTATTCAAATCATTTTTATAATTTGCTGATCAAACTTATACCAATATATTCCAATAAGCCTGTGCTCCAAAGACTAAATATATTTCTTTTATCTAATAGACAAGCAATTGAGAATATCTATCATTTACTTCGACCTAGCGGAACTGTATTAGCACTAACAGTCGTGTCTCATGATTTGTTTGATATCCTACACAAATTGTCGCAAGATGTACGCTACAAGTCACATATACAGGTAAATTTTACCTATATACTTTCTTATTGCTTATAGTCCTTTGCAAATATTTATCATAACAAATTGTTCAATATTTCCTATGTGTCTGTATAGCATAAAAATTATTTTATTCCGCCGTTTTACAACTCTCTTCAACCTCAGAAAGAATTAAAAACATTGCTCAAAAGTATTGGCTTTAATGTACTTCATTGCAGCCATCGTGAAAGAACATTCCCCGCTAGAGATATTCGCCAATTCGCAAGTATATATCTTTAAAAATGTGTTGGCGGGTGACATATATCACCTCTAATAATTTATTATCATTTGTAGTACCAATATTTAATATAGATCCAACTTAAACTATATCCTTATAATAATTATTAATTATTTCAATACAGGTATGATACTATCTTTCGTGACACAATTTTTGGGAAACATGCCCCACGAACGAATGGAACAATTCAAAGATGACTTTATACGGGAATATATAAGCAGATTTGTCTATAAATGTACATGCGGACAAAATGAAAGGATTGCATCAGATTTACACGAAGTATTAGTTTTTTATGCACAAAAAAAGTAATGATATATATTTGTTAAGCAAATCCGTTTGTTATAGCCGTGCAATCGTCGTTGATGTTTATATTTACATCAAAATGAAGTACATTTGTCTTTACTTTTCATCATTATAATTACCGTTATTCCATAAGCTACTTTAGTTAAGTTTAGAGTTATAGATTTAATAATACTTTGATATACATGTAGTACGAAGATACCAATCAAGTTTATACATATCTTATTTAGAAATAACGTACCGAAGAATTATAATTATAATAAGTAGATATAGTTGCAATAAATGGGTATGATATAATATGTACATCGGTTATATTTGTAACAATTGTAACATTTACAAATTTGTAACTTGTAACAAATATCGTTTTCTTACCACAAATAAACAATCCATAATAATATCCAAAATGAATATTCTTTTGCGAAATGTTAACAAAATCTAGGATAAGCAAAATTTAGGATTAACAAAACCTATAGAGATGTGCGAACTATTCGAATTCGAATCGAATCGAATCGAATCTAATTATATTCGATTCAAATCCGAATCCCTATGATTGGAATCCGAATTCGAAAATTTCGAATCGCAAAGATTTGAATACGAATCAAATACATTAGCGTTTGCATCATATATTAGCGTGTGCATCATATACAGGGTGCACGATTTATCTGAAGGCATTGAAATATCTCGAGAACTATGCATTGGATAAAAAAAAGTGGTTAATGAAAGTTGTTAGTCTCGAAGGGGGACATCCAATGATACCAAACTCGACCTCCCACTCCATCCCCTGGGGGTGGGGGTTGGGGGCAACTTTGAAATCTTAAATTGAAACCCCCATTTTTTATTGCAGATACGGATTCTGCGCCACAAAATACGTAAATTTTGTCCGAAACTTTTTTTTTGATTCGTGATAGATGGCGCTGTAATCGCAAAAAATTATATTCTCCGCAATTCTCCAGAAATGATCATTGGATTGAGAAATAAAAAATACCTGTTCAATATTTTTAAAGATCATAATAAAAGTTATTCCCCCCCCCATTCTCGGGGTAACTAACTTTTATTATGTTCTTTAAAAATATTGAACAGGTATTTTTTATTTCTCAATCCAATGATCATTTCTGGAGAATTGCGGAAAATATAATTTTTTGCGACTTTACAGCGCCATCTATCACGAATAAAAAAAAAAGTTTCAGACAAAATTTACGTATTTTGTGGCGCAGAATCCGTATCTGCAATAAAAAATGGGGGTTTCAATTTAAGATTTCAAAGTTGCCCCCAACTCCCACCCCCAGGGGGTGGGGTGGGAGGTCTATCTAATATAATTAGATTCGATTCGATTCGATTCGAATTCGAATAGTTCGCACATCTCTATAGGTTTTGTTAATCCTAAATTTTGCTTATCCTAGATTTTGTTAACATTTCGCAAAAGAATATTCATTTTGGATATTATTATGGATTGTTTATTTGTGGTAAGAAAACGATATTTGTTACAAGTTACAAATTTGTAAATGTTACAATTGTTACAAATATAACCGATGTACATATTATATCATACCCATTTATTGCAACTATATCTACTTATTATAATTATAATTCTTCGGTACGTTATTTCTAAATAAGATATGTATAAACTTGATTGGTATCTTCGTACTACATGTATATCAAAGTATTATTAAATCTATAACTCTAAACTTAACTAAAGTAGCTTATGGAATAACGGTAATTATAATGATGAAAAGTAAAGACAAATGTACTTCATTTTGATGTAAATATAAACATCAACGACGATTGCACGGCTATAACAAACGGATTTGCTTAACAAATATATATCATTACTTTTTTTGTGCATAAAAAACTAATACTTTGTGTAAATCTGATGCAATCCTTTCATTTTGTCCGCATGTACATTTATAGACAAATCTGCTTATATATTCCTGTGTAAAGTCATCTTTGAATTGTTCCATTCGTTCGTGGGGCATGTTTCCCAAAAATTGTGTCACGAAAGATAGTATCATACCTGTATTGAAATAATTAATAATTATTATAAGGATATAGTTTAAGTTGGATCTATATTAAATATTGGTACTACAAATGATAATAAATTATTAGAGGTGATATATGTCACCTGCCAACACATTTTTAAAGATATATACTTGCGAATTGGCGAATATTTCTAGCGGGGAATGTTCTTTCACGATGGCTGCAATGAAGTACATTAAAGCCAATACTTTTGAGCAATGTTTTTAATTCTTTCTGAGGTTGAAGAGAGTTGTAAAACGGCGGAATAAAATAATTTTTATGCTATACAGACACATAGGAAATATTGAACAATTTGTTATGATAAATATTTGCAAAGGACTATAAGCAATAAGAAAGTATATAGGTAAAATTTACCTGTATATGTGACTTGTAGCGTACATCTTGCGACAATTTGTGTAGGATATCAAACAAATTCTGAGACACGATTGTTACTGCTAATACAGTTCCACCAGGTCGAAGTAAATGATAGATATTCTCAATTGCTTGTCTATTAGATAAAAGAAATATATTTAGTCTTTGGAACACAGGCTTATTGGAATATATTGGTATAAGTTTGATCAGCAAATTATAAAAATGATTTGAATAGATGTGGATAATTAAATTATATAATATTTTCTCGAATTAGTTTATCCATTTCAATTTATATCCGCATTTCGTTAAATATCTGTCTTACCGAATATCTTGGCACCAATGCAGAACATGAAATGTGAATGCATGATCGTACTGAAAAATATATTTTTTTGGCAACTCTTTTGTTTCAATGTTAAGTATGTCGAAATTGAGTCGTACCTCGTCACCGTATACTTTCTTGGCGTGCGTAATCATACTTTCCAAGATATCCACACCTTCAAACAAATCGTACTTAAATGATAAATCTCGTCAACATGTGTATCATATTTTAGCAATATATTATTTTCATACCAGTGACTACCGCTTTTGGGTCGAGTGCGGGTAGGAGAATATCTTTTGTAGTGTCACCGGGACCACAACCAATGTCTATACACTTTCCTGACATACATCTTATTTCTTCTTCGAACTCGTCAATTAAGCACTGTACGAAAGTACGTGACATGTTCGCTTGGCTATATTCCGACGGATTCGTCATGTTGAAAAATGTGATGCGGTTGTTTTTGGAAACCTCAACTTGTTTCTTTACTTCCCTTTTATTCTTCACTTCTCGGTGATTTCGGTAATATATGGGAAACAAATAGATATCTGTGAAACATGAAATTCTTGTTGAATTTATGCAGCACGTATCTGACATATGTTCAGTTCGGTATATGGCTTTAGGTAGAATGGGTAGAAGCGTTATAAGCACGTTCTGAATATGGGTCTGTATATACCGACATGGAACATGATATCCATTCGATATCCATATAAGCTCTATAGCTCTATACGCCATCTATCTCCATGGTGGATGTCAAATGAACTTCTATAATAAATAGATTTCCATACTAATTCTACGGTAGATATCACCATAAATTCATTGTAGATGTTCATTATATATCTATAATGGATGCACAATAGATTTTCACGTATAATTTTTTATTGAGTTTTAATACGATATTTATTGCATTATAATCTGTTCCTAACAATATAAAAAGTGATTGTAATTAAAATAGTACACCAAATATTGTCAAAACGTTTTTCTTTATTTCAATGTCGATATAAAATATAGATATACATATGAATACATATAAATTAAATAAGAAACTTTGAATTTTTATTTTAAGCAAAACTTAAATATGTGTTTGTTTTTATTTATGTAAAAAGGAGAAAAATAGGCACATATTTAAATCTCTTAGGTCCGATTGTACCTACCCTGCAGTGAGAAATGATTCGTCGATTAACGTCGAAACAAGGTCGAATCGATGTCGATTTGATGATTTCGATATCGATTCGACACTGTTTCGACATCGATCGACGAATCCATTTCTCACTGAGGCTGTATTCCGTACCTGCATATCGACAGTTGTCGGTGTCGTTAGCGGCATTGCACGGGTTTTCATTTCATATAACAAAAAAGCTGCGCAATACTGCTAACGACACCGACAGCTATCGGTACGCGAATACGGAATGCAGCCCCTGTGATGCGATTCTGGGTGCGGTCCATCAATCACTACAAATGCTTCGAAGCGTTTTTACTTCTCTCTCTTTCTTCGTTTGCATCCGAGAAATAGAACGAGAAAGAGAAACGCTTCAAAGCATTTGTAGCGGTTGCCGGACCGCACTCTCTGTAACTCGTTATTGGAATTAACGACATTTTCGTCATCGTCGCGCAGCTTTTGTCGTATCGTTTGTATATCGTAGAAAAGCTGCGCAACGATAACGAAAGTGTCGTTAACTCTAATAACCTTTGACTATAGAAATATGGACTGCCAGTACCCATACAACACAGACAATTGCTGCAATATTGCTACAATGTTGCAACATTGCATATTGCAGTGCAATATTGCAGAGATATTGCAAAAACAATATTTTGCATTATTATATCTGCAATGTTGTAGCAACATTTCAAATTGCGGTTATTATTAAAAAATTATACAAGATATCGTTAAATGGAAGAGCACTTTTTCGTTCCTCTCGCTTAGCTCTACGCCCCTATGGAGTTGGTATGTTGCAATTATGGGACACTTTGTATATTGCTCTAATTCTCATATTTAATCACCAATTATATTTAATCTCTACGATTTTTGATTTTACAATGATTTAGTTTTATATCCCAAACTTAGACGTCTTATTAATTCAAGAATAGTTATCACAAGTATTTAAGACCTGTATTATTTCAAATAGCAAGGTGGTTTATCTTATTGACGTTCTATTGAGTCAATAAAACGGCGTTTTTTTAAGATATCATTTTATTCTTTGAAATATTACAGATCTTGGGAACTTTCTGTGACTATTCTTGTTTGATGAACAGAAATGAAAACAATGGTATATTAATCTTTTTTTTTCATGTACGTTAAAATAAGAAATTTCCATAAAACGACACTTATGATTGATTTTACAAATTTGTAAAATGTTCTGAACACTTTTCTTTTGCTGTATGATAATCATTCACTGTAAATAATTAGTGAAATTTATACAAATGTTGAGTTGAACATATTATCTCTCATGATTATTGTTACAGAATTTTTATGGAAAATTATTGATTGTCACAATAAGAGGAAAGTGTGTCCAGAATATTTTATAAACTTTTAGATCGATCACAAATATCATCCTCTGGAATGTATCTATATAACAAAAACAATTTTTGGCATACGATCTTTCGCTTCTACCGTCATTAAATAAAAA